ACAAATGGGGCAGAGAGTCAAGGGAGTATGCAGGGGAGAGCTCATCATAAAGTTTAAGAAGGGTATGGAGATGGAAGGACATCAGGAGGGTGAAGGACAGAGGAAAAAAGTTAAATTGAAAGTTCCAGTGGGATCAGCAAATTTTTTGAATTGATATTAAAGGGACTAAGCTGGAAAGAACCATCAATATTACATGTAACCGTCATTAGGGACCTGAAGTTGAGGAAAAGATTGAATTTTACTTTCATTCCTGCTCACAGTTCCTTGGTTATCGCACATGAATGGAAGTCTTTAAACCTGCTTGTATTTACAAAACCCATCACATTCTTTGACAGTAGAGAATTTAGCTATTAAAAAACTCAAATCTCATCGTAAAAGTTGGGCTTTTATTAAATCTTTTTCTTTTAATCACACATTATCTAGTGTCATACATTGGATTTTGGAATATAGGAGACATTTTAAACAACCTAATAAGCATCATATGTCTCCAGCATGGATATTTTTTGATGTGTTATTTTTCTGAGACTGTATAATCATTTATCTGGCTGGTAAGCACATCAGTTGTCTCAGGTCTCCTTAATCTAATCGTAATTAAAACAATTATTGCATGGGATTGTTTTATGTGAATGGTCGAAATTTGTTCCTCAAAAAATAGAAAGGAAGCCAGAAATTGTTTATTTTTTTTCCTTACAGAACTCCATTGTATTTAAGTGGCTTATAATTATGCCAAGCTTTAATTTTTTGCTATTAGAGCAATAAAATTTTTAGATTTTACTAAAGTAGAACCTAGAATTTAGAGTTTGAGAGTTTATAAGAGGTTTCTGTGATATGAGAAGTGATTCATTTTTATACCTTATACTGTTTTATCTACTGAAATTCTCTTCTAGTAGACATCACTTTTCCCTTAATGAAAATGTTTCCTCACCCATGTAAGCATATGAAAGTGAATTTTTATCTTCGTTGTGTTCAAATACACAACTTCATTAGATCTTAGAGGTTTCTTTGAACAACATCTTAGGACCAGGGATAACTTTGAGGAGGTTTTCATTTGGAGAAACCCAGCTGACAGTTGGTAGCAGTTTTTAGACATCTTGGAGCAGCCATGCTAGTGAGATGTCCCTTGAGGTTTCTCTAGATGCCATTTCTGGGTTGAACTTGATAGAATCTCTGCATCAGAATATTCACTGAGGCTTGAGAAGAGAAAGAGGGTGCTAGGTTGGGATAACAAATGAAGTAACAGGATTCCCTTCCTGCCTACAATATTTTCAATGAAAGCTAAAAGTATCTAGCTTAGTCATCAAACCAGGAATGTCTATTGGTACTCAGCGGTCCAGTGAGTACAGTGGCCTTAGCATGTTGTCTGGTAATCATGAAATCAACCTGCCTACCTGCTTAGTGAATTAATTCATTCCATTCTTTCTCTTGGTTTTCCTAATTTCTGGGTTTTAAATTTCTGAAATAAAGGAATTTAATTTTGTTATATAGCTCTTCGGATCATTTCTAAAACCAATCTTTTTCAATAATAACGTCAAGAAAATGAATATTTGATTAGCAAATATACTTTATTTTTATTTTTTATTTGTATATTTTATATTTAATTTGCTTATATAAATACACAGTTTAGTACAGTGCCATTTGCTCCAAAGCAGTTATATATGAATCACAGCACAGTATGGACCAATCCATATATGTTGAAAGTTTTAAGTGCAAGTACACTACATGACTGTACTGACATTATGGTATTCTAGAAGTTAATTGATTACCTCAACATATGTTAATTCTTTGTTAGATTGCAAGGTCTTTGAAGATGGCATGTTTTCTTTTGCATATTTATATTGTTCTTAGAACTGAAACATTACATAAGACAGAAAATAAATGAATATTTAATCAATTTATGGATAACATCTTCTCGATGCTCTTAAAGAAATCTGTAAGGAAAAATCTGAGCATGTTCTATTGATACAGTGGTTATGGCACCTGTCCTGGGGTGTTCTGTTTTCTTGGGAAATTGTAGTACTAGATGTTAGTTCTCCACTTCCTGATCCAAGTGTACTAGAAAAAGTGATTATAATTACATATAGTTATGCCAGCTTAGGTTACAGTCTATGACTCAGACCTTTTCCCTCCCCAACCCGTTTCCTGCATTGGTACTAGAGGAGCATTTCAAAACTCAAACCTGATCATATTTCTTGCTCAAAATTCTTCTGTGTAAGAACCTTCCCTTCCTCTTCAAATGTAGAGTAGGTGGCCCCCTTCTTCTGTACTTGTGTGTGAACACATCACACACTCATCTCCCACACTATATGTGTGGATTTATGGGTTATAGACTGTGACTTAGGTACTGGCTTTCAGTTGTATGTCCCCAAAGCCTGCCTTGTAAACGGTAGATCCATCAATGGATACCATCAAATGTTTATACCTCAATATCATTTTTCATTCATTAATATTTTATAAATATTTCTGGTTCTACCCTTTAAATTCCTTCACTACATAAATACAATAGGAGGCATGGGCCTACAGTCTAGTTTTCAAGTTGGCCATAAATATAAATTTTCATGAAAGTCAAACAAGAAGGCAGACTTTGTATAATTTCAGGCCTGTGCTTATTTGTATGCTGTGAGTGTCCTATGTTATGTAACTGTCCATAAAAATGTGGCATGGAATCTTCATTACTTTTTAATATAAATAGCACATGCTCATACAGATTAAAAATTTTAGGCAAATCTACTTTTTTCCTCCCAATACTTAATTAGTCACTTTAAGACATTTTTTGATATTATAGCACGTGTCCTTAGGTGGAGCTGTTAAAGTTAAATAAGTGTGAATATCTGTCAAATACAGTTCTTGCAAGAGTGCACGTACATTTTATATACTGTGAGAGAAGCATAATTAATAGCTAATTAGGATAATGAAAGTAATATACACCAGATGTAGAGAAGACCTTGTGGAAAATTAGTATGAATTAGATAACATGTGATTTGGTCAAAGCAAGCTTGTTGAGAAGAATTAAAACAGTGGACATGTGGAGGGACAATCAGTGGCTGTCTAGCTCTTACACCTAGGGGATAATTTAATCAAGTTTGCTATTGTAATATTCAGGGCTTCAAGCTGTTCCATTTTCACAAGTTGATAACTTGGGATTTGGGCCTTGATTTGCAGCATTCCTATATGGTCAAGTTTTCATATTGAGATGATCACTTATCAAGTAATTTAATACAATCATCTCCATGAATAAGATTGGAAAAGTAGTAAGAGATGTTGAGTACTTTGATTCATGCTCCAAATCTTCCAGGGACCACTTAATTAATACAAGTCTAATACTTGTTATATAACTCATTTTCTTTTCAATGTTCATTGGTTGGCAGTAGTCTAATTTTCTTTTCTTTTTTTTTTAGTACCATCCAAATGTTTACCAGAATATCCTATTATAAGAAACTGAAATTCAGTAATTCCTTGTTGGCTTATACAGCTACATTTTGAGAGCAACATGCACATAATAATGTCTTACATCTACTGAAAACTTAATGACAGATATTGTGTTAATAAGTGTTTTATGTACATCATACTATTGAATCTTTACAACAATAAAGTATAGATGTATTTATTATCATTATTCTCATTTTCAGATAAGGTAGCTGAACCATAGATAAAGTAATTTGCCTGAGGTTGCATGGATAGTAAGTGGTAATATTTGAACCCCAGTCATCTCCCTCCAGATCACTTGCTTTTCACCTCTGCATACCTGTATTGATAATGTTGTGACTGATAAGAAAGAAGAAATATTACATCCTTTTTTATAATTACATAAAGACATAGAATAGATGTAGTCTTTTGTGTGACATGTCATCTTTATTTTACTTCATTGATGGTATCAAGTTACTGCAGATGTAGGTAGCACAGCAATAATCTATATGAGAGGTATTTTTTCTATCCATTAGAGATTATTAATTTTGGGGTTTTTTTCTTTTACGCAGTAATGTTTAAGCCATATTACAATCCTGAGGTGTCTATAGATTAATAGAAACCTGGCCCACTGACATTACTCACTAGGAGGTTTGTCAGTTACAGATACAAATTAAATGGGGAAAAATTGGGACAATTGTTATAGAATAAACAAGAATAAAAAAATAAATTATTAAGATGTTGAATTTAAAAGAATGTCGTACAAAGTGTAATGGATTCTGAATGGGCTACAATTTCTGTGTAATTGATAAATAAATCCAAGAACTCTTTTTTGTGTGTGAAGTATAAAAATAATAAACCTAGAAAAAAGTTATAAAACAACTAGCAAGAAGATCCAGTAAATAGGATAAAATAGTCAATATACAAAACAAGTAACTTCGCTATATACCATTTATAATGTTAGAAAATAAAATCGGAAGAGGTCCATAAAGGATATGTTTTATACATGAAATCAAATGAATCAAATTGTATCAAAATGTAATAAAAGATTGACTGTGGGGGTCAGGTCAGGAGAGAGCAACAGGGAAAAAGGTGGAACAACTGTAACTGAGCAACAATAAAAAAGTAAAAATAAAAGGAAAATATTTGCTCTCAATTTATTCAATTTTGAGAGATTTTATTTCTATAAGTTTACTAGGGAGAAAATCTTCAATAGAATAAAATTTTCATTAGTACTATGAAATGATTTACAATGAGTTTATAATGAAAATTGCTTATGTTATAATGTCAAGTTATAAAAAGTGTACATAGAAAATACCATGGAAGAAAATATGCCCGGCTGTAGACCTTTATGTATTATTGAATGGTTATAGTTTTTCATTTTTTCTGCTGTTTGTGTTGTTTCCTAAAAACATGTTTTCATAATGTGAAAAAATACACACACTTACTTATTAAAAATAATTTAGATTAAAAGGTAAGAATTTTTTTGACTTCCATGTGTTATGTTGGGCCTTAAGCAGAAAAGGAGGAGCTCTCTATCTTTTTAAATTTACATGCTGCTTTTGATTTTTAATTCATATGGTTTTAAATTTCCTTAGAAAGATGTGCGAGACATCCTCACTCCAGTTAAGATTGAGGCTGCTTACCGCCTTGGGCATCATTACACCGGTAGACAAAGAGCGGAGGAGTTCCCACCACTTCAGCCGATTCTTCAGCAGAAGAAAGAGAAAAACATAATTGAAAAAACAGTAGGACTATTTTCTTTTATTCAAAAATTGTGACATGTAACTTAAAGAATTGTTTTTAGAGATCTTGCATAATTCTGGGGAAATGAACTCTAATTTTTTTAATTTTATGAATTTATTTATATAATATGAGATTTATGGTGTCTTTTTATTTGTTTGTATTCTCTTTAGGATAGTGGACTGAATATTTAAAAATACACATTTAGCCACAGTAGTGGTTTCCCATATAACATAAAATGTTAATTTTCTCTTCTCGATGTCTTGCCAGTGAAGAAAATATATTACTAGAGAGCACTCGTAATAGAAGTGAGTTGCATTCATGAGGTAGTCATCCAGTGTCATCATGTGTGTTCAGTTTGTCTTTCTCTTTCTCATTTTCTGTCTCTTCTCTTCTCATTTTTGTCCCCCTCTCACTCACTGCACCCATGATTCACTCATGTCTTGTTAGTCGAACTCCCTTGCTGGGTTTTACTCATGTATAAACATATGTATTTATGTTACACAAGTTTCTCTTTTTAAATTTAACTGTATGCTATCCAGCCTCATGCCAGGACTAATCGTATTGTGATTCGGATCCCGCATTCTAACCATGAACTATTTTGTCCAGTTTATCCCAAAATATATCGATTTCATTGACAGTGTGTTTATTTCTGGGCGTCCAGTTGTTCAGAACCTTTCTGTTCAAAAACACAAAGACATAGTCAACAGGATGTTTTGTAGTACAATAAAAGCATTTGTTAAAATGTATGCTAATGGCACACAGAATGTGAAAGATAAAAGTGTCATTTAAACATCTAGTTCATTTCCTGTCCCAACAAAACTGCCCCTAAGTGACTTTAAGATATTAGAGCTTACAATCAACACTGTGTAGTCTACAGCCTTAGAGTGAATAAAGATAATAATAACTGAAGAGCAAATTTTCTTTATACCCACATATAAAAATATTTCCGGAAGTCAGTGTTTTTCATCCATTTAACTCTTCAATATCAACTATTTTTAAATGTCTTTTATTGTAAGTGCACAAACGAAAACCTAAGCAATTCGTAGTTATATTAGAATGATTCACATTTTGACTCTTAGAACAACCTATTCTACAAGTAAGAGTGGTAGAAAAAAATCATATTTACTGCCCTGGATGATGTGACTCACTGGATTGAGTATCAGCCTGCACACCAAAGGGTCACTGGTTCGATTCCCAGTCAGGGCACATGCCTGGGTTGTGGGCCAGGTCCCCAGTAGGGGGTGCATGAAAAGCAACCATACATTGCTGTTCCTCTCCTTCTCTTTCTCCCTCCCTTCTCCTTTGTCTAAAAATTAAAAAAATAATAATAATCTTTTAAAAAAGGTCTCTTAAAATTCATATTTACCTAATCATTAGGAAAAGATTTACTCTTTCCTTCCTCTCCCCCAGGTGTCAGCAGTCTATAATCTGACATGCAATTTGACAACACCCCAATTGTTTACAATTCTATGTACCTGGCTTCTTCTCTGACTTTCTAGATTCCTTTCTTTTCTGCATCTCATCTTTCTTCACCTTTACCACTCAGTTTTCTTTTTTTCTCTCTTTCCATTTTTCTTTCCTTTGCCTAGCTTCTAACTCAAGTCTTCTTATATACCTTGTAGTATATCTGGGTCCCATTAAAATGCTCAGAGGTAAATAAATTCTGGAATAAATTCTATGATAGTCTCATTTACTGTTGTTCAATGTGTTCTTCAAGTGAAATTTCTAAATTCCTGCAATTTATTTTCAACATATATAAGACGGCTATCTTATATCTGCAAAATTAACTATCATGCTCCTGTGGAATAAGTGGAATCAAAGCAGCAGAAAATTGAGAGGAGCTTGGCAAAGAACATCTTGGCAGCACGAGTTTTAAATACCTAGATAGGTTACTATCATGGTTCACTTAAAATTTTTTTACAACTATTATGAAAGAGAAAAAAAATCATTTTTCCCACCTCACAAATGTAGGCTTTAAATTTGCCTATTGAATTGCCTATTGAAGAAATTAGTACTTTTAGCCCTGTAATTATTCATCATTTAAGTCTATTAACTCACTGTCACATTGAATTCTTCAAAAAGGGATAAAACAAGGAGTTATTAATTTGATTCATTAATTCTATTTTTCTAATGTATCAAGATCTCATGGTCTTTAAAAAAATACATCTACTAATTGAACTAAAAAATAAAATACTGTCATATTTTATTTCCAGATAAAGTTTGCACGGTTTTGTGCCCATGAAAATTGTTCTGCTGATTTACAGGTTTCTGCAAAAATTGGATTTTTGAAGTAAGTGTAGTTTACTCTTTGTTATTCATCAAGATGGGGTAATTGGGGGGGTGTGTGGGTTTCAGAGAAAAAAGGACTAAGAACTAATACTTGGGGGTTAGCAGCATTTAAAGAACTGAAAACGAATAACATTCTACTGAGAGAGATTAAGTGATCTGTACATCATTCATATGAGTGTGCACTTAAAGGTTGCTGCTTTTTGAAAGAATGAGAATATGAGCACCAACGATTTATGAAGCATGTTTTAATCTTTCCCTGGTAACTGAAAAGATATTTCAGTATTTAACTGTGACTTCGGTCATCATCGTTAGAGTTGTAGTTGTGTTATAGACATTTGTCAGGGCTTCTTATGAGAGTTTTGATGGCAAAATGAGCTAACCTTCACTACATAACGCTTAGTTTGTCACCAAGAAAAATGGTCACATAATTCAGGCTGATGTATAAAACAAAGAAATTCCTCAGTGTTTATGACACATTTGAAAGAGAATAAACCATCTTATTCTTCTGAATTCACAGAAGGGGAAACAGTAAAAAGAACATATATGTCATTGTGCTTAGAAAAGTGCCTAGCTTATTGTGAACACTAGTTAAATGTTGATGGCTGCTATTATTTTATTATGGGAAATAAACCATTGTAATTTTGTCATGTGTAGATCCCCTATATGGCAATTGTTTTGCATACGAGAGGGAAGATGTGGAAATGAGGACTAGAGGGATGGAATGCACAGTTCAGGGAGAGGGGTGACTGTGTACAGGAAAATGAAAGAAGGAGGCACCAGCGACAGGCCAGGGAAATGGGAGACTATCCTGGGAGTGAGGCCACAAATGAGCAAGTTTAAACTGGGGCATGTTGAATTTGGTGGGACTTCTGACTGTAGCTTTCCAGTTGAAAATCTAGTTCAGGATTACTGGGGAATCCCTGCACGGTGAAATGTGCATTTTACAGAGGAAAAGTACTGAACATTAACACTTGAGGGGAACCGTTTTATTTAAAGAGCTTCAGAAAAATAGGGAGTCCCTGTAGGAAGCTGAAGAGGGAGAAGAGAAGAACTGAGTGAAGTGCGAAATAGCCAATATAAAAAAGAGAGACTTCATATTATAAAACTTTGTAGAGAATCAAGGTAGCATAATGACTGAGGAGAGGTCATGGGAGTTGACATTTAAAATGTGACTTGTGAGTAAAAAAAGGATGTCAGTGGCAGATTTTAAGACAGAGATCTCAGTGCAGTCGGAGCCGGATGACAGCATAAGTGCTTAAGAGAAGCAAATATCCTGGGAACAAGAGGGTTTATCACATGTTATTTATTTAATAATGCAAAGGTAGGGGAAAGAATCAATTGGAGAAAAAATTTTTCACTTAAATCCAGGGGACATGTTTCATCCCTCTTTGAACTGTCCTCTGAAGCATTCGACAGCTTCGCACTCCTTCTATTGAGTGTGTTTTTGCTTCAGTCCCCAGCGTGCCGTCGTACCCTCTTCTCTTGCTGTAGCCCTTCTTCCTCTGTTGTCTTTGGAGGATCCTTATTTTGGTTCTGTTGACTTTCCAAATGGTTTTCTTACCCCTTTGTGACACTCCCCATTTTTTTTTTTTGAATTCTGCCTACAACTGTGCCCTCACCTGGCCTGCCTACACTGCCAGTGCCCAAATCAGCATCTCCAAGTTCCGCATCCACACATCCTGTTGTTTATTGGACTAGTTACCAAAACCAACAACCTGGAGCTCAGTCTGAATTCTTCTCCCTTTCTTATCCCTGACATTCAATGAATTACTAGGTTCTATAATATACCCACCTAAATGTCTTTTTTGTGACCACCATGATTCTCTGTCTCTACCACTATTGCTGTAAACCAGGCATTCAGTATTCCACCTAGATCACCAAACTTCCCTGCTTTCTGGCTACTGGACTCTTACTTTGCATTGTTCTAATTCCTCTACCATGATGTTTCCAGAAGGAGTTTTAACGCAGACACCTCTGATAACCGGGCTTCAGTGGCTCATTCTAACCTTAAAACTCTGAACTCCTTAGCGTTCTTTCTCACCAGTTCTACTGATAGCAGACTACTTACAGTTGCTTGGCCACACCATGCTTTCCTAAGCCTCTCTATTGTTTCATTTCTTCATTTCACTTCTCCAACTTATCTACTTGATTAACTTTTATTTATCTTGTAAAGGCCAGGTGTTTCCTAGGTGAAGTCCCTTTTGTCTCCAGGTACATAAACCTCTCCCCTCAGCCCCCGGCACTTGCACTCACTGCCATTCTCATCTGTCTGCACACCATCCTGTAAGCCGCTTCAAGGCAGGGCCCTGTTGTTTCATTTTTGTGTTGCCAGTGCCAAAAACAGTGTCTGGAACACTGCTGGTGACTAAAAGATGTCTGCTGAGACTGGAACAAGGTTCTAAAGAAAACAGCACATAATGGGATTGGACTCAGGTGGAGGAGTTAGCCTTAGAAAGAAATTAAAATGGTCCTTTATCTTGAGCTAAGCAGCTATGAAAAAAATGCTTGACATTGATTAAGAAATTCAGTGTGGAAAGAAATAAAATGTAGAGAATTCATGGATTGTCAGGACATAAAAGCAGGTTCATATATGGAAAGTGAGGTCCTTTAGGATGAGCTTAGGCACTTGAAAGTCATGGAGAAAGAATCAAAATAGTTATGTTGAATGGGATAGGAAGTCAACTAGGAATGAGTAAAAAGGTTGACAAACAGTGTTGAGTACCCTGCTGGGTGGGATCACATATGGCAGAGAATAAATTAATTTTTTTCACTTAGGCAATGCCAGTATAGCCTTGAGCATCCACTGTTGAGGGCCAAGAAGCCCTAACCTATTTGATTAATAATTGGACTTTATACTTAAATTATCCAGATTGGCTCCTCAGCTAGTCCAAAAACAGTGACTGCTAACTATTTTGTATCCCAGCTAGTAGTAATGTAGAGCCTTTGTTGATATATTAGTTGAAAAGTTTACAACCTCCCTATTCGTGCATTTATTTTCTTTCTAAAATGCTTAGTTTTCTTGGTGGTTTTGCTCTCAGGAGCCTTTGATAAGTAAAGGTGTTTGAGGGAAAGCTTATCTGAGCTACAAATACGTAGTGTTTTTATTTTCTTAAGTCAGAAATTCCCACTGTGACCTTTGTCATCTTTCATTGCAACCCCACTGGCCTGTGAGAAAAGGGGACATTGAAATTGGCACAAAAACATGACTAAGAATGCTTCTTTTCTGAATAATGAAAATACATCTTCCTGAATTAAGACATTGAATTACTTGACTTACTATTTTTCTTCATTACATATTTTCTTGCAGTAAGCTATTACATTGTCTACTTTGCATTTTTAATTTGAAGTGATACTATTTCTTGTCATCTAAATATCAAGTCCGTGATGATTTTAAATGGCAGGCAACTGAGGGTAAGGCAGTGTTTCTCTGGGTGCGGCCGACCTCTGAGTCAGTTTCACGAGAGTCACCTGGAATCTTGATAGGAATGCAGGTTCCTAGTTCCCAGAGCATCCAAATTGGAAGCTATGGGGACCAGGCCAGGAATGTTTATTATGAAAAGGGCTCCATGGGTTTCTTATTATACTAAAACCTGAGAACAAGGGTGGTCGTGGTTAAGAGTTTCAGTTTTGAAATGAAACTAACCCAGTTCAAGTTCTGTATCTGCCCTTTACTAAATGTGTGACCTTTTTAGAGAAGCCTTTGAACTCCTGTAAACCTATTTTGTTTTTGATAAGGAGGTAAAATAGTACTTACTTTATAAAAGGTGTTTTAAAGATAAAATGCAATAATGTAGGCTGAGTGCATGGCACAAAACCTACACATGAAACTCTGATAAAAGTTGTTATTTTGATAAATTATGGTTGGGGATATTTATAGATCATGGTAAAAAAAACCCCAACTTTTTAGTTTGGCCCTAAAATGAAATATTGCCAATAAATTCTAAACATTTTCTGTATACGTACTAGCTATTTGTCCACAGTGTGTCTCTTTACATCCCCCAAATGCCACTGCCTGTGACTGGGTTGGCAGTTTTAAGTTTTACGAGATTTGAAGCAGCATGAATGCCAGTGCAAAATGTAAACCCCACACCTTTTGCATCAATTTGAGAAGTTACAGGTGATTTCTACGAGGGAAATGATAACTTATTTCTGGAATTCTCTAATGAAAACTGTTCTGATCAATTTTTTAGGCCCACAGTGAAGGACTCTGACAAAGTGCTTTGCATTTTTAGTCAATTATACTCTATCAGACAAATATGTGCCTGCCTCACATAGGTGTCCTCTCTCTTCCCTGTCATTATAGGCAAATTGTGACCATATGTTCTAGTATTCTCTCACCCATAACTCCACTGGAGCTAATGGTATTTATGTGCCCAGAGCTACAAACTGGCTTTAGGTAAATGCATTTACTCAGTAAAGAACATGAATTTCTGAAGACTGCAATATAATGGACTGCCAAAAGCAAACTAAACAGTGCTTACACACTTGTCTCATGTTTTGATTAAGCTGAGGTTTTCTTCTGAATGTCTAAGTTCTCAGGAGAATAAATTATATTCAAATGGACTTACATGGCGAAAGGAAGATGAACAAATATGCCTCTATCAAGAGTACAAATATAATAGCAGGTGTTAGTCATTACACAGATAGTTTGAAATCTAGTTCTGAGCCATGCTTCCGGGGTGGGAGATATAGGCTGTTCCTGAACCATTGTTTGTACATCAGTTAGGGATGCCTTTAACTCCAAGTAACAAAATACCTGACCAATAGTAACTTAAACAACAAAGGGATTTAATTATATAGCATACTACTCAGTCTATATGAGGCAGTAGGAGGTTTAGTGGGCACCTACCTAAATCTGTCCAGTTCTCTTGGTTTTCCCCTACGCTTACTAGAAGGCTGCAAGAAAAAAGGGGGCAACAGCAAAATTCTGTGTCCTCTTGCTGCCTCTCCAGGAAGGCCAATGCCCTAGCAGACCTCTTATGCTGATTAACCAGACTTGTATCACACACTCGCCCCTGAACCCCTCATGGCTGAAGAAGAATGACTGCAGTCATGGTGATCATACTAGATCGATCATAATTCATTTCCTGAACTAAGACCTTGTCTTCTGCAGTATCAGTGGAGCGCTGCCCACTGCTTCAATAATCCATGGTTCTGTTAGCAGCTCAAAAGGGCGATCACTATGAAGTAGACAGCAAGCAATTGTCGGTGGCAGCCACTATTCTGTTAGCCCTTCAAAGGGCTAGCCGAGCCAAATTGTCCATATATAAAATGCAGATAGTAGGAATATACAGGCTGGGCAAACGTAGGTTAACAGTCATTCCTATGGAAAAAGACATGCAGGTTAATATCATTACCATAGCTTTATTAACTCTGTGTTTTGTGTACTTGCAACTGTAAACCTCCTTTGCCCACCACCATGTGCCCCACTGATCTCAGAGACGTTGGGTAGGATGAATTACAAGCCTCGTACACTAAAACATGCTATTCCTAGTTCAGTGTTCCCATCCGCACTGCTCTGCTATGCTCCTCTAGGTGACAATGAGTTTGCCTTTATTCAGTAAAATCTTAAGTGTCAAGGAACTGACAGATTGCAATCGACAAGAATTTTCCAGTATTTTCCCCCCTTCAGTCAGTAGTAAAATAAATAAATAAATACTTTACTTGGGTTTGCAAGCCACTTGCTGCAGGCAACATTTTGTCAAATAAGTGACTCGTGTATCTTGACACAGGTGCATATCAGCTTACATTATATTTTATTCTGGCATCTTTAAAGAAAGCTATGAAGCACTAATTTAGGTTATCAAGGCAAAGTACATTGATTATACTGAGGCTTGGGGAGCATTTCTTGCAAAATAAAACACTATCACTCATTCAAGGAAAACGTAAAGACTTCGTGGAAAAATACATGATTTTTCTATTTTTTCCTCATTCACTTATTAAGTTATGTTTCTGTATGTCCCCAGTACCTTTGTTTAAATTACGTGGATTCTAGGCTGTTTTGTAAATTTCAAGCCTGCATTATGCATGCTTTAACGAAGAATGAACTATGATTCCTGGGGAAAGCTCTGGCTCGGCCTTGTCGCACTTCCAGATGTGCACCTGGTCCTTTATTATGTCTCATGTAACAAGCTGTTGGGTTTCTTTCTGGCGGCACCCTGTTAATGAACCAAGATACAGTAAGATGTATATATTTTTTAAAAGAGTAGAATTGTAATTATGATTATGTGGCGAAACAGCTTAAAAATGGAAAATAAACCAAGAGTCTAGCAGCTGAAATGTGAACATTGTGTTTCCCTTTAATTTGCTGTTGTCTTGGAACCTGGCTGTTTATGCGATGCTTTCACCTTCTGTTGCTTGTCTAAGTGCCAGCTTCTTTCCCAAAGGTGTTCAGTGACTAATGTTTTTGGTTACATGCCAGAATATTTTATAAATGTCTATTTCTAGGCAGCTCTTCTACAAGTCTTAATTAAGCTTTAATGTCAAGCCGAAGTTTACTTTTAGAACCTCCTAGGTTCCTTTCGTTGTAACATGATTATGGAACAGTAGGGGGAACACAGGACAGCGATGTTCCTGCACATTTCTTCGCTGCCGTTTCACACGGTGCCACTGAGCAGGTGCGTACTTATGTGACACAGAGGTTTACTACACAGGAATGAGTAAATCACAGCCATTCCCTAAAGCTGACTCAAATTTTTCCACCCTGAAATGATAGCCATGGGTGAGGGACTGCTTTGCAAGTTGTTACATATCCTTCCTGAAACATCCTACTTCTCACACCCGGGGATCAAAAGATAGAGAGACTGCATATGGACCTGTTATTCATTCCTTTCTCCTTGATGTCTCAGTCACCAGCCACGGAATCGTGAGGACAGGAGAATCATTTTGTTATGCTGTATCCTGAGCTGTTTGAAATGAGCCTCTATTGTCAGAAGAATACAGAATAGATTTTAAATATAGTAATATTATTTTGTATGCTTATTTTGAAACTGATTATACTTATCCAACAGATTGCTCTATGGCCGAAGCTGGCAAACTTTTTCCATAAAAAGCCAGATAGTAAATATTTTAGGCTTTGCGGGGCAGAACTGTCTCTCTCAACTACTCACCTCTGCTGGCGTCCGTCGTATAAAAGTGGCCGCAGATGAATGAGTGTGGCTGCGCGCCACTGAACCTTTATTTACAAAACCAGGCAGAGGTCTGAATTGGGCCTTCCAGCAGCAGTGTTTGAACCCCTACTCTGTGGTATGCTTGCTTTTTACATGACAATTCGGAAGTACTTGTTTGTGTTTGGTTATTTTAATATAGTTCTTTATATCAATACTGTTACTTAAGTAGAGCTTGTTAGTATAATGTAAGCTGGCTGCTAAAATAAGCCAAAATTTAGAGATTTTAAGGGATTAACCCTAGGTTAAAAAAACCGTAAGGGTCTGTTTGTAGGCAGTCCTAACAGAATTACGTGTATTAACAAATGGCTGGACTAGTTCCAGACAGACCTCGTATATATTTTTGAACACCATGTTGATAGGGCCTGAGAAAACAGGATAACCATGACCCAGCATCTTCTCTCCAGGAGAACTTAGTGTTAAGAAAAACCATGCAATGTGAAAACATTGCACTATATGGGTGCCTGGTGTGCTTACGGTGAGAGAGTGTGCTTATGGTGAGAGAGAAGCTACACCTCACTCCTGTTAGGGGGGGCTGCTGCGTGAAGGGGGTAAGCAATAAGTATTAGATAGAAGAACTCCTAAGACTTGAAGAAGTTAGCCAGATGCATGAAGAGGGAAGATGCAAAAAGTAGAGGGGTAGCTTGAAGTAAGATATGAAACACCATGGTGTGTTTGGACAACTCTGTAGGTAAGTATGGCTAAAACAAAGAAATGAGTGGGGCAATGGAAAGCCGGGCAGGGGCCAGCCCTGGAAGGCCTCACGTGCCATGCCAAGGAACTGGAAGTCCATTATGAATGCCCCGGAAGATACTAAGCAGTCATGTGATGTCATCAAGTTTGCTTTCTGGAAAGTGACTCTCTTTTGTTGTGTGAAACTGGATTGGAGAAGGAGGACTTGAGAAATCAATTAAGGCTGCAATTCAAGTTAACTAAGGTTCAAATGTGAAACTTTTGGAACTTTTTTGAATTTTATTTTTCAATTACAGTTGACATCAATATTATTTTATATTCATTTCAGGTGTACAGCATAGTGGTTATACGGCCATAATTTACAAAGTGATTCCCCCTGATATTTCATAAAAAAACAAATCAGACCTTTACTATTAAAACAAATTTTAACCTTTATTCAGCTCACCATTAATCAGCAGAATAGTAGCAAAAAGCAAAAAGCAACATGCCTTTGCTACTCCCATGCAAAAATGATTCACTGCCCTGGGTTCCCAGGTCCCTTCTTTCATAACTGTTTCCCATGTATTTATAATATTTGTTTACATTTCTTTAAAAGCTTCACTGTGTAAGCTCTACAAAGGTGGGGTTTAGGAAAAACACCTTTTTTTATGTCAGGAAGTAATGATCATAGTACATCATTTATTATACATGATCTGTCACAATTATACTCAATTTGTAATTCATGAATCTTTAAGTAATCCTTAAAAACAAATTTTGAAACTTGCTTTTAAATTGTCCTTAAATACCATTTGTCTTAAATTATTTCACAATTAACTATTAAATGCTTACTATGTGTTTAACATTTCCAGAAAGAATTTATTTAAACACTAACCTTGTATATGGATATTGATTAGAATGTACAAAGTAAACATTATTAAGCTTCCTAAACTCTAAAGTGCAAGGTGAATATTTTATTTACCTTTCATCTCACATTTTGCTTTGGGTCACATCCTTCTCTGGTTGACCCACTCTTTCTAAATTCTTTGATATCTATGACTACCTGTCTCGGAGGAAAGCTTGTAGAATCATGCGGTAACAAAAGTTTTCTTTAGCATTTAGCTCTTATAACTCTCTAGTTGATCGAGAGAATGGGCTGTGTAGGCAAAGAGATTTGCACTTGCTTTGAGACTTTAGAACATTCTAGTTGTGAGAGACCTTGGATAAGTTTTTTAAGCCTGAGTTTCCTCATATATAAAATGTGTTGTTCTGAGGATTCCATGGAATGGCATGAACCAAATCTTCACTGAATAGCAGTTACTATTGTAGATGAGGTGACTGAGGCTTAAAAATGTTAAATAAGCCCTCCGCCCAGGAGAACCAGGCCCGGAGCCAGAGCTTGATATCACACACGTGTCTGGATTTGCAGCAGTCTTCTCCTTCCAGTTCACAGCACGGCAAAGCATTTCTTCAAGCTGTTAATTCGGTCCCATTATTGATAGAGGTGACCAACCTGACTTAAGAAATGAATTCAATGCTAACAGATTTTAGTTGGATTCCCTTGCTGGGGATAGTCATGCTCACTGCCACCAAAACATCTATTTTGGTGGAAATACTCTCAGTTCCCTTTTTCCTCCAGTTCCCCCATTGGCCCGCTATGGTTTGGGCAGCAGCTAGTTTAATGTCTTTTCAAAAATAAAGAAAAAGAAAGAAAAGATACTTTGTTTTTAGAAAAATATTGGAAAGTAATAAGGAAAATGTTAAAATTATAGAAGCAAGCAGTTAAGCAGGAAAGAAGTATAACAGAAAGCAGACTAGTTTAAGTAATTAAAAATCTTTTCTCAGGTTAATAGCCGACCAAATATATCTGAAATATGGGAAATGGAGCTCTTTTAAAAATAGATTTGCATCTACTTTCATGTATCCCTTTCCCTCTGGTTGTTTTTTTCAAATTAATATTTTTATATTAGAGATAAATAAATGGAGAGAATTTTTATTTCCCAAATAAGAACTAAGTAATATTACTTAATTTTTAGGCCACATGAAAATAAAACCTACCTCGCTGTTGGAAGTATGAAGACATTAATGTTGAATGTGTCCTTGTTTAATGCTGGAGATGATGCATATGAAACAACCTTGCATATCCAACTGCCCACTGGTCTTCACTTCATTAAGATTTTAGATCTGGTAAGTATTGAAAACCACAACAGCATGATACTACATAATATTTTACTTAATTTTTTAAAAATGTAAATGGTATAATTCACTTCATCAAACTGAGGTCTAAATATCTGAGGCTTCTTTAAACGTATCTCTTGGGCTTCTGGTGATTTTGGGACTCCTTCCATGCTCCTGATTGAAACGACAAGTTCCTTGGGATCTGACTGAAGTCGAAAGAGTCAGCCTCCTTTTTACAAGACACAGTGGTCCAGTTATCTAAGCGAACTGCTTGGGTGCTGCTGCTGCTCTCACTAGTGCATCTTTCTGGCGCCTGATGCTGCTCCCTTTGGTTGGGTCCCTGCACGAGCGATGCTGGTCCTTCCTGCTGGGCTCCCAGTTACCGCTCTGCATTTGCAGTTCATACGCCTAGTCTTGTTCCCAAAGGACCCCCAGCATGCTAGGACCAGCAATCCACAAATCCAAAATCCTCGTGCTAGACAGATTGTAGGCAGGTTTCTCCTTCCCTGGAAGGGTTTGAGGCACCTGGAGACCTTTTCTTACCACCGTGCCTCAGTCATGAGCACTTAAATCCACCAGCGGGGTAGTAATAAGGTTGAATTTCAAAGACAAAAGACTCAACTGTTTCTCTGTTTCTTAGCAAATTTATCGAGATCTCATCCAGAGACTATTTCCTCAGATGAAGGGCATTTAGTAGAGAGGCCTTTGACCTTTCACAAAAATCTATTACTACCTTTCTCTAGCAGGGTTGTCCAACCTTTTGATGTCTCTGGGCCACACATTAAATACCACAAACACTAACAAAACTGATGAACAAAAAAAAGGTTTTAAGTAAATTTACAGTTTTGTGTTGGGCCATATTCATAGCCATCCTGGGCCTGCATGTGGCCTGCGGGCCATGGGTTGGACACCCTTCGAGTATTAAAAGCCTATTTAAGATAGTAAGAGGGAAAACTCAAGTATTCAAGGAAATAAATATCTATACAAATACACACAGGGCTATTTATTTCCCTGAAATATTAGAATACACGTGTATGTATACTATTGTGATTTTAGTTATCGCAATTATAAACAACGTATTCTCACATCCCACACAGAAGAGGGATGTGAAACATAGACATTATGAATTCCTTGCCTCATGATTTTGCGAGGAACTGGGCCTTGAATTAAATGGGTGATACACAAACATGGGTGAAAGGCACAAGCCCAGAAATTATTCTGTGGAGAATTTACATGAATATGAGAAGATACATATACTTACATACATATTTATATCATTCATTTATATTTCTATTTACTCCAAAAGTAGTTGTCTAGGAAAGTAAATTCTTTGGAGACGATGTTTTGTTTTTGTTTTCGTTTTTCAAAAAAGAGTGCTTAAATATGAGTTACATACTTTTTGCTCCCTTTTCTATCTCACCCAATTGTTTTTTGCTTGTTTATTTTTAAAATGTTTTTAGGAAGAGAAGCAAATACACTGCGAAGTAACAGACAGCTCTGGTGTAGAAAAACTTGACTGCAGTGTTGGTTATATATATGTAGATCATCTCTCAAGGGTAAGTATTTAGCATTTATAATTTTTGTTTACTAGAATGAGTATAACATTTTTCTGTTTTTCCTTTGTTCTGTACATAAATACATAATTTATTATTGTTTTTTGCTTAGTAAATAGCTAAGTGATAAAATAAAACTAAAACCAACCAAGCTTGAGATCTTTGAGATTGTGTTTATATTCTTGGCAATGTTCACTGGAAAAGGGGCGCCAAGTATTTATGTCAAGATGGGCATGTGAATGTGTCAGTCAGAATTCTGCTCTCCTGCCTCACCCTTCTCCAACACTCCCCTCGCCCCGACCCCACCCACCCCACCCCACCCCAGGTGGTTCTATCTGCCAGGCATGTTCCCTCTGCTATAAAAAAGGTGTTTCTGGCAAGAGTCCTCACTCAAGTTGCTAAAGCATCTCTAATTTTGTCGGTCTGGACCTGCCCATCTACATTCAGAGGAGGCTTTGTTTCCAAATGTCACTTGTAGAAATGCTGGTGCTTTAGAATTGCCACAAACCCAACAGCTCGCCTCCCAAGTGAGGAATAGCTTATGGTTCCAGAATGTAGTTTCAAATCTCCATTCCTCAGGGTATAAACTATTAAAAAATTAAAATTCAGATGATTAAAAAAGTACATTTCAGGTTATTTTTTTAAATGAGCTTTCCTGCTCTGTGTTTTACAGGTAGATGTTAGCTTTCTCCTGGATGTGAGCTCCCTCAGCAGCGCAGAAGAGGACCTCAACATCACAGTGCATGCAGCCTGGTACATTTCATTGTGGATAAAATCATGTACTAAAGGAGATAGACCCCTAACTTTTTTCCGGAGGGGACCTTAGGGGGACCATGGAATTGTGTTCCATTGTCTTCACGAGAAAACTTCTCTTACATGATCTAACAAACAAACAGACCTTTAACCAGCATAGAAGAAAATAACAGTGTAAATAATGAGTACATTTCTGCCAACCCTGTCATAAAAATTTCTTACTATCACATTCACTTTTATCCCCACTCCCCGAAAAGCATTATTTGAACCAACCCCCACGTTTATTTGGTATTCATGGTATATAATTAGTTCTCTCTAAAGATGAATTTTGTGCTTGACGGTTTCTAACAGGGTGTTTTCTCTTCCGTAGTGAAAATGAAGGGGAAATGGACAATCTGAAACGTAACAATGTGACTTTAGCAATACCTCTGAAGTATGAAGTCATGCTAACTGCTCACGGGTAAGTGGATATTGAGGCCTCCTCTAAAGTTGCGAGCTGATTTTAAATCCTTTACTGCATAAACTGTTCGTCAAAACCATGTTTAAAAAAAATGTTTTTAGGATCCTGTGCTGTTTCTGTCTCTTAACAATTACGTCAGCATTGTAGTCCCTTGCCCAGCTGTTCATCATTTGAATCCTTTCTATAATTGGCACGCAGATCATGGCAAACTAGTGCCCAGCTGGAAGAGGGGTCTTACTGGAAGAGCCTGATAAGCCTCCAGCGGGCCATGCCTAGAATTCCAGCTGCATGCAGCACCGGCCAGGACCCCGGGAGCCAGGCAGGACACAATTCGCTCGATCATACTCAATGGCCATGGCAAGTGTGAAGCTTAAAGAATTACAAGCTTGACCAAGTCACTGCCCTCTAGGACCTGTGTCACCTACGTGGCACATGGGCTGAGCTACGCGAGAGCTGGCTGCAGGGTGCCGCTTTTCCGCTCTTTATACCTATCAATTACAGTTTGTCGCCCACAGCCCAAGAGCCAGTATTCACTGACTCCTTGTAATTTTACTAATTGTTTATGTGGTTCTGACTCTAATTCAAGGACGACATTTATGGAAAAAGACTGAGAAGAGTATGAAGGAAACCTTCAATGATTTTATTGGAAATTATTTAGGCTATTCATCTTGGTTAAAAAACACATTTTTAAAGCAATTAAAGATAAATACAGAATAGACAACTGACCTTTCCTTGTAGTTCTAAGTATAAACCATCCCCAATCATTTTTAACTACCCATAAAGATGGCATATAATTACATAAAAATAAAATACCAGTGTCTGGAGCTAGTGGCACTGAGTATCAAGTGCATGAGATATAACAAGCAGGGGATAAAGGCAACCATTCAAGAGCGATGAGGACCTAATACAAAGTCACTGGGAAGCAAAGAAAAGCAATTGCGTGTTTTCGGGTTTTGAATGTTGTCTTGCCTGCCCTCCTTGATTTTCCTGTAATGAGTGTCCTCCCTTTTTTTCATTATCCACATCTTATTATTTTGAGCAAGGGCTGGTCTGCAACAATTAAGCTGCCTAATCTACATTCAAATATTTTAAATTTCTTTCCTGTGTAACAAGTTCCCTAATTTGTATTACCTCCTATCAACTGCCAAATATGAGCAACTGTAGAGTCAGGATTTCCACAGAAACGTATTTCTTAAAGTTCACTGCTGACCATACATATATATGATCACAGGTCAAAGAGTAGCAACTTTGTACTTGAACAAAAATTTTACCGTACTTCTTGGTGTTGGAGTTGTTCCCCAGATCTGGCGTCATTACAAACGGTGTCTCTTATGATTATTGGCATCCTTGCACCTAGCAAGGCACCTGGAACATGCCTTGTATATACTTTGTAAATAAATAAATGAGATTGTAACGCTGAAGAAAAGACAGTTAAATTAAATTTAACTTTGTTTCTATCAGACTTGTAAACCCAACTTCATTTGTGTATGGATCAGAGGAGGACTCCGAGCCAGAAACGTGCATGGCAGAGAAAGTGAACTTCACTTTCCACGTAAGAAAAGTTGATTGTGAAATGGCCCCGTCAGGACCCAGCTGGACTCTAGAAGCCTTATTTATTAATTTATAATTAATAGTTAAGTATATTCTAAATTACAGTGGTGTGACTGGGACTGGATATACTTTCAGTCTGTAGGTTTCATGATTCGGTTCAAGTATGAATGTGTTCTTCGAGGTCTCAGTATTACTAGGCAAACAAGCATGGAAAATATGGTAAATTAGAATGATTATTTGCAGGCATCAGGAAAGAATGTTACTGGTGCATTGCTGGAGAGGTCATCATACACCCATGATGTCCCTCAGCTTTGGGCCCAGCACCGCTTGCCGAGGGCAGGGAAGCAGCTTGTACTCACACAAGCACATATGCCCTTCCCTCTCCGGCTTCTGCTCCTTTTCTTGTCCCTGCTACTCAACCCCACAACTATTTACAGAACAGGTGGGAATGAGCAAGTAAAAATGGAGGTAATGCCTGAAACTAGCAAAGTTAAGGCCGGAAGTGAATCTGCTAAAGATGTGAAGAGAAACAGGATAGGCCATATTTAAGTGCAAATCAGTGAACTCTCTTCTTGGTTGAAGCTTTATAAAAGCCCTAAAATTACTAAGTCAAGTCAGCTCTTACCTCCCATATCTGTCCACTTTGAAGGTCTACTTGGTCAGCCTTTCAGGCAATAGGTATATGACCTGTGGCAAGTGATGAATCACTTATTCAATAATCTTTTTAAAAATAAAGAGTAGTGTCATTATCTATTAATATTAATATACTAATATAAACACATTTTTAAAAAATTTACTATCAACTGAGAGTTCTGGGGCACCATGGCTACTGGTGATTAATAAATAATTGGGGATAGTCTCCACAAAAATAATTTTTGAACCAAAAGCACTGCCCAAATATTCTTAGAGGTGTAGAACAATCTTTGGAATGTGAATCAGAATTTAAGTACATTATAATAATTTTCAAGACATGCTTTTCAAAATGTGTATCAGAACCACTTAGGGTACTTATACAAAATGCAGATTCCTGGGCCATGCCCCAGATCTGTGAGAGAAGAATGACCTTGACATCCTAGGGAGTCTATGTATAGTCAAGTTTTTGTTATGCTAGTACACAGTAGTATTGAAAAAAATGTAGCTCTCTACTTCGAAGTCCCAAGAAATGGTCCTGTCAGAACCCAGCTGGACTCTAGAAGTCTTATGTAATTAATTTATAATTAATGGTTAAGTATTTTCCAAATTACAGTGGCATGACTAGGACTGGATATACTTTCTGTCTGTGGGTTTGGTGAGCCTGTTGAAGTATGTATGAGTGTGTTCTGGAGGTCTCAAGGTTACTAGGCAAACAAGCATGGAAAACATTGTAGGTTAGAATGATTATTTGCAGGCATCAGGAAGACCTCATCTAAAGACCTAGGCACTGCTGGTCACCTTTGCTGGCACTGCCTTTGAAATGCCCTGCACTTGCATGGCCTAGCTATCACCACCTGTGGCAAAGCCAAGGACACTCTCTTTCTTCCTTATCTTATGCATCCAAAAGATCATTGCAAGGCTGTGATGTTTCGTTCAGGTATTGTGGCACATCTCTTTTCTCATTTATTGTATTGATTTTATAATGAAGTTCTCAGGAGGCAATATTTTGGCCTAGTTTCCTTTTACAGGGATCTGCAATCCCCAAATTTATTAGCAATAGTGACATACTCTGCATTATTTTTTAAGAACCTGTTGCATTTTTTTTCTAAAACCCAATAAATGACCCCTTTCTGATTTTCTGAGTATATCAACATTATAATTACCCTGAGATAAAATACATTTTATTCACTTACTGCTGATATCCCCTCTACACAGTGACTTTGTGAAAACATCATAGAATTTAGAATTAGAATACCTGGGTTTTGGTCCCAGTTCTTGTCACTTTTTAATGTTCATCTTGGGCATATCATTGACTAACACCTCAGTATTTTCTTGAGCTGGTAAATAATTAAATGTCACCTCACTTTATGGAATAGTTGTAAGGACCAATTGATAATGGCTTTTTAGATACGTAATGTGCCATACAAATATACAGTGCTGCTGTCTCTTTCTTTAGATTATTTCTACAATAAAACACCTGCCTGGACATTTTGGTCTAATTAATATAAAAAGGAGAGAACCGGGAATAAGGACTAAAGGTTGTACTTAGTAGCAAACATTTTTAAGTTTGCACTGTGAATATTCTGTCTCCCTTTGCTGTGTAGCTGCCGACTACAAATCTCCAGCACTATACATGTGGTATGAAACATACGGGTTCACCCAAAGCTCATTTGTATCTGTACTCACATTTGTGAAAACATTTAAAAATTGTTTAAAATGTTTTCCTTCTTACCAGGTTATCAACAGTGGCCATAGCCTGGCTCCAAATGTTAGTGTGGAAATAATGATACCAAATTCTTTTACCCCCCGAACTGATAAGTTGTTCAACATTTTGGATGTCCAGGTAAAAATGTGTTCCTTCCTTTATTGCCAGTGATACTGATAAAATGGAGATTTCTGTTAACTTACTTCAGCCATACTTACTCTAAGCTACGAATTCACTCTGCATGCATGGGGTGCACTTCGAATGTTATACATTGCTTTAGAACTGTAGGGTTATAGTGGAGCCTCTGCATTTGATTTATATAATAAGAGAATTGTGCTCTACTATCTTCCGTACATTTTCTTTGTGATATGGACCTTGGGAAGTAATTTAATTGGTAGAAATCTCCAAAAAAATTGGGACCACTATTGGGAAAAAAATACTATTTCAGCCTTTTTTAAAGAAAGAATATTCAAAGGGAAGGGAAGGGGAAAGTCAAGGAACATATAGCAAGGACTCATGGACAAAACCAAAGGGGAAGAGCTGAGGGAGGGGAGGAGGGAGGGGGCAAGGGAAAGTGGTGGGGGGAGGCAGAGACAAATGTATTTTAAAAGTAAATAAATTTAAAAAAAATAAAAACAATAAAGAAAGAATATTCAAATACTACATAAGAATAAATACTGCTTTTACTCTCCCAGTTTCAAAATAGGCAATCAATACATAAACCTACTAAATAGGTTTGAAATCTAATTTTTTAAAATCGTACTTGAATTCCAAATTTAGATGGTAGGTCATGATGTTGCAATACAGTATTATTTTGTTTTGTGTCTAAGGCCCAAGAAATGTTGATTTCCATGCTAATGTTCACATGTCCATTTTTCACATCGCCCTAATATCTGGAAGGTTAAGGTCATTTGATCAGCTTAGGACCTATATCGCCAACCCTCTAAAATTTTGCAGGGTTTTTGTTTGTGTTTTTGCCGCAGAGATTTAATCTCTTCCAAATAAATCTCTCAAAAAATATTTTTGCACTTTCAGAAATACTTGATATATTTTAGAAAAGGTAAGCAAGCTATTGGAAGTTTTAAAACCATGCAGCTTTTACTGTTCTTTTCAATACTGAATTACAATATTTTTCTTGCTTTCTATCTTTGATAGGCTTCAACAGGGGAATGCCATTTTAAAAATTATCAGAGAAAGTGTACAGATCAGGAAAAAGGTGCAATGAAGACCCTAACAGATATATTTACATTCCTGTCGAAGACTGATAAGAGGCTATTGGTAAGTTTCAGTTTTTCCTGGTAGTTTTTGCTTTTCAGTGTACAGAACTGAAACACTTAAAACAGAACATGAATGGATTGGAGCTGTCAGTTGAGTGTATCAGAGAAACAGGTTCAGGTCTTATTCTTGCACTTGAGGCGGAGACATGATTGGAAATTTGATAAAGATCCAGGGTTAAATATATACTATATGTTGTCACTGTTTATCTAACAAATGGCCATTTTTTTGCCAGCCATTCTTCCAGACCCTCTTCAACAGAGCAGGCTTTGTGAAATAAGATTAATTTTTGACTCTTGATTTTAGTGAATTTATGAAAATTAAATAAAACACTGAAGAATCAGTCTTACCCTTCAAACTATCCAAGTTTTACAGTGAATATAGACCCTCTGACTTAGCAAGATTCTGATTAGGAGTCTTTCTTTTAAGTTTATCCCAGAAGGTTAAGTTCATAAAAATAATGAAAACACATGCTCTAGTTCAAATACTTTGTTTTTGTTGTAATTTATAAAACAAGCATTTCTGTTTTGTTTACAGTAAGAATTTTTAAATGCTACTAACAATGGATCTTTAATTCCATGTTTATAGCAAGGTAATTTTTATAAATGCCACTTGGAAGAACAGACTTATTTCCATGTAAAATATTTTGGCCATCATTTTTTAAAATGTTGAAATTTTAATGTAGCTTTTTATCATTCTTTTCAAGTACTGCATGAAAGTGGATCCACATTGTTTATATTTCTTATGCAATTTTGGGAAAATGGAAAGTGGAAAAGAAGCTAGTGTTCAAATTCAGCTGGAAGGCCGGCCATCTCTCTTAGAAATGGTAAGTCTACAACAGCGACAACTTCGTGAAGAAATTCATATGGACATTGTAAAGTATATAAATAGGACGGTATGTAAGGAGGCCTTCAACAAATTAAAAAGGCATTAATAAAAATAAAACTTAGAGTGAAACTTTAAAATGATTTCCATGTATTACTTTAGCTGAATACATTGTCTAAATGGCATGGCTTTAGCAATTAAACAGATGATGGAGACTGTAAAATAGACTATGGGATAATTGAAAGTTTTACTTTGGAAAGCATGTTCAACAGCTTATGGATCTTGACTAAATCAAAGAAATTTTCTACCTTAACATTTTGTATAACTTTAAAGTTCTTTCCAAACTATTTAAAATTATGCTTAAAAATCTATATTTAATAAAGCTAAGAAGTAAAATTAAGTAATTCATAACATCAAATTAAAACAGCCAAATGTATCAATAAAACACAAATACACAAAAACAAAAACACTTTTAAGAAAATGAACTTTGAAAGGTTGAATTAAAAAATAATTAAATGCACCTTGGACTTCTTCCTAGAAAGGAATATATTATACACATTTATGAAAAGCACTTGGAGATAAAAATGGTTTTATTTGGAGTTCTGTTCTTCAGTTTCCTTATCTGATAAATATGGGTGATGTCTCTTGTAGGAGTGTTGCAGATTAAATGAGATGGTTTCTTTATAAGGCACTTGTTCTACTGTGCGATGCATACACTCTCCTTTTTTTTTTAAGAGGTTGGGCTTTCGAGGCAACACCATCAAGCAAAGTTTAGCAGCACTATTTTCTCAATAGGTGCACATGATGTTTAGCATTTTTTAGCAATAAGCTATTTTTAAATTAAGTTCTATACAGTGTTTTTAGACATAATACTATTGCACACTTAATAAGACTACAGTATAGTGTAAATATAATTTTAATATGTACCAGGAAAACCAAAAAAATTCATGTGAATTCATTTTATTGCCGTGTTCGCTTCATCGCATTGGTCTGGAATCAGACCCGCAGTGTCTCCTGTACAAGGCCTGCCTGTTCTAGTGCATGGCACACAATGAGCCAAAGAAAAGGGCAGCTATTCTGTTTTGTTAAGAGAAATACTTGAAATTACCACACGGTGGTCAAGAGGAAGTAGCACCAGACAGTGAAATAATAAATGTCTATTTTAGTTTAAATGGTGCTTAAAAACTAGCCATGGGGTCAACAAGGTCCCCCGACTTTTGCAGTTCGCCTTCTCATACTCTCAAGGCACAGGTTTTTCAACAGAGGACGCCACTGGCTTTTTAGTCCAGGTAATTCTTTGTCATCAGGGGCTGTTTTGGGCCTCGCAGGCTCTCTGGCAGCTTTGCTGACTTCTAGCCCACTAGATGCTGGCAGCGACACCTCCCAAGTCCTGAGAGTCAAAAATGTCTGCAAACATTGCTGATGGTCCTCAAAGGGATGAAATTATCCTCTTGGAAACCTCTGCTCTACATTCTCTCCAAGATGTTGAGTAAACTTTACATAGTAGTTTTAATTTCTGAGGGTCATAGTCCTCTTTAAGAATCCAACTCAAGAATATATTCTCATCTACCCCAATGAACGCACATACTTTAAAAAGCTTGATTTTTGCATACAATTTCAAAAGTCCTTAGCGTCTGTGGAGCCCACCCCCAGATCCACAGGCTCTGTGGATTCTAGATTATGGAGTCTCTGCATTAGATAGTAAAGCTCTGGGTTCATCTACTGTTTTTATATTTGAGTGCTATACCTATTTGTACTAGATTTTTCCATTTCCATATTAGGTAAACAATAGGTATTTGATCCGAACAACAAGATGACAGTGCTACTTAGAAAGACATAAAGAGAAGCTGAAATAAAATGAATTTTAGGAATAGTCTATCAGGTGGAAAAAAGTCTTATTTGGGGATATAAATAATTCAATACCCAGGGGAAAATACTCTGAAGATTAGCAAATAATAGGTAAATCAAGTTATCTGCAAAGTGGCTGTGTTTACTAAAAGGGTCTCAACAAAATGGTGCCACACAGATACCATGACCACACCTTTAAAGCCAAAGGAAGCGCTGCATGGCAGTTCATTACAAACGGTGAAATAAATTAGGGGAGATAAACTGTGGAAACTTCTGGACAGTAGGTAAGGGTCATGATAAGTTCGTTCTGTTAATTCATGTCTTTATGAAATAAAACTATGAATCAGGCTACAGTGATGTTTCTTTTATTAAACAGGATGAGACTTCAGCACTCAAATTTGAAATAAGAGCGACGGCTTTTCTAGAGCCAAATCCGAAAGTTTTTGAACTACACGAGAACGAGAATGTTGCACATGTAAGATTACCTTTTTAAACTGAAACATTAAGATGATAGGGAAAATAGTATCGCTAGGGCATTTAGTCGGGAAAACAGATTTTGACTAGATCACCAAGCACTTAAAATACTTTACCAAGAGTTGGTATTTTCCACAGCTGGAAGTGGGGAAGACAGACAGCTTTTATAGGAGGTGAATGTGGTGGGATGGATTGGAGGAGGAGGTACAGGAAAAGTCCATTCTGCTTAGTGTTCCTGCTGGACAGTGACCAGTGTTTCCTATGGTTACGTCAAACCAGTAAGAGAACGGGATGGGTTGTTCTAAGTAAAGTACTGCTGGGGCTTGTGGAGGGGCTTCAAAAGAAATAGGAGCAAAATTTAAAACGGGTGACTCTTTATTTTGGTTTATTTACCCAGGTTTTGCTCGAAGGATTACATCATCAAAGACCCAAACGCCATTTCACTATAGTGACTATTTCAATTAGTTTGCTACTTGGACTTGTTTTACTTTTATTGATTTCATATGTTATGTGGAAGGTAAGCCTTTCTCTAATAATTCCCAACGTTAAACCACTCAAAATGCCATCCTTAATTTTCTCAAAGCCAATTTATTTACAACCCCAAGTGAATATTCAGTACTGATCTCATTTCTCCTAACTTCAGTGCCAAAGTCCGTCTAAAAAAAGATGCCACCTTAAAGATAACTCACTTTCAAAAAAGCATTTGAGAAACACTACACGTTATGTCAAATGTCAATTTTAGACAGTTTACACATGTATCACTAAGTACTGCAGTAATTAAAAAAAAGCACTCTTGAACCCAGTATTTTCCAAACTAAGTTTTACTGACTACATGGGACAGAGTTTAAGAAATACAGCAGGTTCTCAAATAATGTAATTTCATTCTTTATTTTGCCCTAATGTTAGAAACTTAACTCTTATTTATATCAACTAGCCTATGATAAATCTGGTTTTTGAATACATATGTTCTATGACTGTAAGTGAAATAATCGACAATGTTAAGTAAGGATTTACTGGCATTGACTGTTTAGATATTTTATATAAGTGTAATGACTACAAACTAGTGATTATGCAATGTTTTTTGTTCAGGCTGGCTTCTTTAAAAGACAGTACAAATCCATCCTACAGGAAGAAAACAGAAGACACAGTTGGAATTATATTAACAGTAAAAGCTTTGATGATGATCATGATGATTAAAGACCTTTCAAATTGGAGAACTAACAACAGGCTCAGGTGTAATAAAGACATTTAAGACATTGTTTACAAGAAACCATGAACTTTGTTCAGAGTTCTTTCATGTCCTCTTACACATAACCTTGTGACATACTATGTCGTAAGGCAAATGAAAATTCCAAGAAATGATATTCTTTGAGACAAAAAATCTACAAAGGTGATACTCAATACATCCAAAGATCTTCTATCAGTTCTTAAATGGACAGGAAAAAAAAACACTAAAACATCGAATTTAGTCAAGATAAATAATCCCTTGAAGATATCTGGAAATGAAAGTACATCTGAATTAAATCATATTGAGGACATAAACTTGATTGGAGGAATCCTGGACTTGAAATACTCCTTTAAAGGAATAGGTGATGATTCATTTCTAATAGACCCTTAAGACTTGTTTGAAATATGTTCTTCAAAAAAAAATAGCAGAATTTTTCAAAGAGCTATTTCCAACTTTCCTCTTGAATAAGAGGTACGTTGTCATTTTAAAGTATATTTTACCTTTAAGACCTTTGTAATACATTTCCTATGAGCTTTGATCAACAACCATTCGGCACTCTATGATTATTACGGGCCTGAAGAGCCAACTGCAGACTGAACTTTCATACACTGGTCTGACCTTAACTGGGTGACTTTTGGTTAATTATTGTTTATACAACTATGGATTTCTTTCTTGTTTCTGTATATACCTAACTTTTTAAAAGACTATTTTTTTATACAGGCACAAATCCATGCATCCTCCTGTAACAATTTTTCCAAGGGCACCTGGAGTAAATTTTTAAAATCCATCATTAGTCAAATTTTCTGTTTATAAAAACAACCATACTTAAAAATTCTAATTTATATTCTGGAGCAGATGGTGAATGTTGCACTTTAGCTGATATTTGAAGTATAAATACACTGATAGATGTAAAATATGAAAACTATACCTCACAAATATATTTTTAAAAATCAAAGCTCTGCAGAAACAACGAGTAGGGGAAAATATTTCATACAAATACTCTGTAAAATACTCACTGGATGTTACTCCTTTCTATTCAAGTATATGTAAACATTAACTGTGTTTTTTATAAGTTCTATAAGAGCATTCTCTTCTGCATGGAATTGGGAAAACAAAATTCAGAAACTTCATAACAATACATATTTAGTTTATATCCAGTGACTATAAATGTAAAATCAGAATTTCCACAATGTATATTTTGGTGATAAATGAAATATTTTAAATAATTTCTCTTTAAAAGCCTTTATGTTTGCAAACAATCTGTTTGTAATATTTATTCATGCACATAAACTAGATGCTAAGTGTAGAATATAATTTCACCTGAACTGGGCTAAAACTTTCTTTATATATATACGAGGTTTGTGGCCAAATTTTGAAAATCTGTTATAGGATGTGATCAAATAGATAAATTAGAGGTCGGTCTTTACTATTGTGAAAAATATTTCTCTATATGAAGTCCCTGTCAACACCCGTCTCCTTCAGGCTGCTGAATTCCTAGAAACTATCCATCACAAGCCAGAAGTCTGTGATTGGTACACAGATTTGTGAAGGCAGTTGAACAGGGAAACCCAGTCATCACAGTGGGCGTGGAACCTCCTGAACTCTGTGTGCCAAGAGAAATTAACTACATATATGTAATAGTTTAAAGTATACTTTTTTGATCAGAAGCTATTTTTTTCCATTATAAAAAGCCAAGTAGTTCAGGAGGATGTCTAGACTCATTGGTAGAAAATCAAACCCAAATTTAGAATTTCATTCTCAAGAATACATGAGGAAATTTAAATTCAGTTCTTTCCTATTCAGAAATGACAGCATTTCAGGTATTAGCGAAACCACTGAAGACGATGTGTTATAATTGCCAGAAGACATTACTCTCAGGAGCAAGAGGAACAGTACAGCTGTCCTCTTGGACCAGATTTTTCCCATTTAGATATTGTGCATAGTTTAAATTTTATTAAACTTTAATATTACCTGTATTATGAATTTTATAACCCTACCACTTGACATTAACTGAGTTGTCAATCTCAGAATAGTCACAAAATTGGTACCATAACTTAAAAAAAAAAAGGAGGGTTCTTTTCTTGGTAAGTAGTCTAAGTATTAAAGAAATTTTGAAAAGTAATAGTTCAATTTCTGGTTATATCTATCTGTGTAATTTTGAAATTTATCCTCATTGGATTAGGTACCTCATAAGGAAAATCAGGGCATTCTTACATGATCTCTGTGGCTATGGTATATTTAACATCAGAATTTATGGACTTAAATCCTGGGAAATAAAAGAATCCAAATTATTTCACTTTAGAATTATGTAGGTTAAATATAGATATAGCATGATGTTTAAATTTTAAGTATATAAAATATTTACATTCAGTTCCAATAAACCAATTCTAAAAAACCAGAATTTAAGTAGTTTTTGGTATATTTCAAAGCTAATTTTTAGTAACATCAAAAATAGCAAATTTAATTTCTTTAAAAATGAGATTTTTTCCCCTCTTATGATATGTTTAAAATGTGACCATATCCCTTCATATTAAAATTCTAGTGCATATGTTTCTGTTATAAACAATTACATGTTACTTTGGCATCTTTCATTTCTTCCATACTTTCTCCATAAAGATTGATAAGTCTTGGATGCAATCTGTAAAGAATAAAATATGTGTAATTGGTTATTTTATCAACCCATCATTCTGTTATTTTTCACATATACACAACTGAGTATGGTGCATAATACCAAATACAAATCTGATGATAGCAAACAAATATACATATTCATAGCAAAGCTGCAGTCTAGAAAAACTGGAGCAGGGTGTCAATAAGTCAGCACAGAAATTACTAGAAAGCTCTCTTAGCTGACTTACTTGACTAATATTCTCTATTTTTCTGTGCAATCCAGTCAACTGTGCCCATAGAAAGCTCACATCTAGCAGGCTAGCCGGGGGCCCCTGCCCACTACCCAGTGAGTCATAAAGCTCACCAAGAACGATTTTGCATGTTCCTAAATCTTTCTATACCAGTTGTTCTTGTTAATAAAATGACACGTAAAATTATTCCTATGTAAAGCAAAAGCGAATTACTGAATATAAAACTGTTAGAGTATTAATTATTGGTGAAGGGACATTTTACAAGACTAATTAAATTGTAACAATCTGCTTCTCAAACGGTGTCACAAAATTTAAACTTTTGACCCATTATTTTGAAATTCAAAATGGAAATTATAGACATGCATTGTCTGTACAGTTTATTAAAAATAATTCCAAAATGTCCATACTACCCAAGGCAATCTACACATTCAATGCAATTTCTATTAAAATACCAATGACATATTTCTCAGATCTAGAACAAATATCCCCAAAGTTTATATGGAACCAAAAAAAGACCCACCCCTTCCCCAAATAATTTGCTTCAGCAATCTTGAGAGAGAAGAATAAAGTCAGAAGGATCACAATACCTGATATCAAACTCTACTACAAGTCCACTGTAGTTAAAACAGTCTAGTAATGGCATAAAAACAGACTCATAGATCAATGAAAGAGAATACAGAGCCCAGAAATAAACCCATGCCTTTATGGTCAATTAATATTTGACAAAGGAGGCAAGGGCATACAATGGACTAAAGAGAGTCTCTTCAATAAATGGTGTAGGAAGGATTGAATTAGAACTTGCAAAAAAATGAAACTAGACCACCAACTTACACCAGAATAACTCAAAATGGGTACAAGGCAAAATGGGAAAAGGATTTTTCCCAAAAAATTCTAGGGGAAAATATAGGCAGTAAAATTTCAGATATCTCACATAGCAATATTTTTGTCAATATAGCTCCTCGGGCAAGGGAAACAAAGGAAAAAAAATAAATGGGGCTGCATCAAATTGAAAAGCTTCTGCATGGTTAAAGAAATCATCTTAAAATGAAAAGGGAACCCAATAGATGGGAGAATATACTTGCCAATGATACATCAGAAAAGGGTTTACTTTCCAAAATACATAAAGAACTCATACAACTCAAAACCAGGAAGACAAACAATCCAATTAAAATATAGGCAAAGGCCCTGGCTGGAGTGGCTCAGTGGATTGAGTGCTGGCCTGTGAACCGAAGGGTCACCAGCAGGGCACATGCCTGGGTTGCAGGCCAGGTCACCAGTAGCGGGTGCATGAGAGGCAACCACACATTGATGTTTCCCTCCCTCTCTTCCTCCCTCCCTTTCCCTCTCTAAAATTAAATAAATGAATGAATGAATGAATGAATAAAAAATAGGCAAAGGACCTGAATAGACACTCCTCCAAGGAGGACATATGGATGGCCCATAGACATGAAAAAAATGCTCAACATCACTAGCCATCAAAAAAGATGCAAATTAAAACCACAGTGAGATGTCATCGTACACCCACCAAAATGGCTATCGTTAGTAGATCAACAAACAATAAATGAGGATGTGGCAAAAAGGAAGCCCTAGTGCATTGTTGGTGGGATTGAAGGCTGGTGCAGCCACTTTGGAAAACATCGAGGAGTTTCCTGGAAAAATTAAAATTGCAACTGCCTTTTGACTCAGCATTTCCCCTTCTTGGAACGTATCCAAAGAATCCCAAAACACTAATTTGAAAGAATATATGTATCCCTATGTTCATAGCTTTATTTATTGCACAGTAGCCAAGATTTGGAAACAGCTTAAGTGCCCATCAGTAGATAAGTGGATAAAAAAGCTGTGGCACATTTACACAATGGGATATTATATAGCTGTAAAAAAGAAGGAATTCTTACCCTCTGTCACAGCACAGATGGACCTGGAGACTATTGTGCTAAGTGACATAAGCCAGTCAGAGAAAGACAAATACCATTTGATCTCATAAATAGAATTTAATGAACAAAATAAACTAATGAGCAAAATAAACTCAGAGGCATAGGAACATGTGCCCCCTCAGACTGACAGCTGTAAGAGGTGAGGGGGGAGGTGGGAACTGGTTGACAGAAGGTGAAGGGATTAGTCAAAGAACATATATGCATGGCCCAGGGACACAGACAACAGTGTGGGGATTGACTGGGGTGGGCCGGTGGAGGGGATCCCAGGGGGTAAATTGGGACAACAGTAATAGCATAAATAAAATATTTAAAAATAGTTCAGAATGCCAGTGTAGAGACTTATAACCACGGAAAATTCTTTGACGCTCCATCACAATTGATGCATAAAGTCATACTTTATTAAAATTGTACGTTTATCTGTTTATCCTTCCCTGATCTGTTAATTTAAAAAAATATACATCTAGCTTTGATAGTTACAGGAAGACTTTCATTATACTATTAGTTCTGTGTCTCTGGTGGACGTATAAGGGAGTGAAGTAATTGGACTTACTTTATGTGGACCTCTGATGTGACTTCCATTAAATCACCATCCACATTCCAAGGGAAACTGGTTTCTGAAGCAGTTTCATTTGGTTGATCATCCTCCTCTGGATTGTAAGCACTGGTTTTATTCCTTGGGTAAACTTTTACTTCTTCAACAGTGTAAGTCTCAATGAATGGAAAATTGAACTAAATAAAAGAAATGCAAACAATCATGGTACTTCCTTTATTCCTAACTGCTAATGCAAGTTAAGAAAGTTCAGGGTGCCCTGTCTTGCAAGTAAATATGAACGTGCAAGCTGATGTTTTTGAAAGTCTAATTATGGTCAGGGATCCCCAATCTCTCTGGAAGAAGGAACCCCTCTTCTGAAGCTTTCTTTACCTCATTTAGATCTGGCAACTGTGCAAACTTGTTTTATGACAAATAATAAATGTCGATAAGGTTGTATACAGTACTGATATTGTGAATTTCCAATTAAAGATAATCTTTACTACTGATCTGTTGATACAGATTTACATAATTCATTGACTTGATTTTTAAGTTGCCAACTAGTTTAGCTGATATAAAGCAAACTCCAGTGTAAGTTTCACACTTGGAATTTAATTAGGAAGAACCTAGGGTCTCTGCTTCAGGTTTTTCATCTCAGGTGTAAAGCCTTAAAGGCATCCTTCATACTGCACACTTGTAAAAATTTCTAATCATTCACTGTCTACATAATCATTCATTGTAAATATAATGAATTTTAAGTGAGCCATTGATAACTGGCTAATATGGGTTAAACTGTGTCCTCCATAAAGATATGTAGAATTCCTAATTCCTAGTGCCTGTATATGTCACCTTCTTTGGAAAGAGTTTCTGCAGATGTAATCAAGTTAAGATGAGGTCATTAGGATGCATATGACTGGTGTCTTTCTAAGAGGGGAGAAAGCCATGTGAAGATAGACACACAGGAAGAATGCCATGTGATGAAAGAGTCAGAGACAAATGATACCACTGCATACCAAGGAATGTCAAGAATTGATGGCCACCACCAGTAAGTCTATTATCTTAAATCATCAGTTTTCATGTATATACACATATATCACAAAGTGAAACCCCATCCATCCATCCATCTGTGCAAATTTATTACCTATGAAGCCACAGACATTGTTAAACAAGACTTGTGGGAGCCAAGAGCTTAATACCTGGCATGAGGGTGTGCTGGGGGGGCATGAGCAGGAGAAGTAAGTAGTTAAATTGTGATACATGTAGGTGCTTTGATGGTGTATGAGAATTAAGTGACAGAAGAGGAGACGGGGCAAAGTGGCTCAGGATATTGGGTGAGCTTCCCATCTGGGCTGTCTTAAAGGACAAAGGTTTAGCCGGTATAAGAAGGGAGGAAGTTCTGGAGAGGAAAAAAAAAAAACAAAACAATAGTGGCAAAAATACAGAGCTATGTCATGGTCAAGCAACTACCAAAAAATTAGCATACTGTGATAGTGACTGCAGTACTAGTATTTGGACATTTGGCAGAATAAATACCTATACTAGATTTTTAAAAATAGCCTATATAATGTTATGGGCTGAATTGTGTTCTTCCCTCTCCAAAAAAATTCGTATGTTGAAGTCCTAACCCATTGTATCTCAGAATGGAACTGTATTTGCAGATAGTCCATAAAGAATTTAAGTTAAAATGTGGTCTTGAGGGTAGGCCTCAATCCAATATGACCAGTGTCCTTATAAGAAGTGGGGACTGTGCAACAGCACACAGACCACATGCAGACATCTGCAAGCCAAGGAGAGAGACCTCAGGAGAAACCATACTTTTTAATACCTCCTGGGACTTCTCACATTCAGAATTGTGAAAAAATAAATTTCTGTACTTAAGCCACCCAGTCTGTAATATTCATATGGCAGCTCTTAGCAAACTAATACACTGACCAAAACATAAAATCTGGTAGAGGAGGGTGAGAGGTGAAACAAGGCAAGGGCCAGAATACAAAGCACCACGGAATACATGCTGGGGACACCAGATGTTCTCCTGCTGACGATGAGAAAGACATTAAAGAATTAATCAGAAGAGAAATCAGGTTTTAGAAAAATCCCTTTAGAAGGAAGTTTGAAAGACAAGACCACAGAATAGGAGGACAAGAAGAAAGCTATTGTAAGCAAGAAGGAGTTAAAGTTTGGATTAAGGTTTGAATTAAGGTAAGGGAGAGATTTCAGAAACATTTAAGAGGAGAGCAAGTAGACCTGCTTGGTGGATGGGTTGTGAGGAACAAGGGAGACAGAGGAATCCAGAGTGGCTCCAGGATGGGTGGGGCAATGACATTGACCTTTGTAGGGAAACAAGGAAGGAGCGAGACCCTTCAGGGAAAAAGACGACAGTAAGGTCAGCTGCAGACATGCTGGATTCAAGATGCTTCTGAGTTTTATAACAGCACGCAGGAAAACACAGCAGTCCTGCGGGTCACAAGAGAAGATGATACTCGGTCCAACAGGCTCCATGAGATCACGCTGCAGAAGGTGTCACGAGAAGACAAGAAGGCTGTAAACAAATCCTGGGGGAAGTACTAACATTTAAGAGTTTTAAACTCCTTGCCAAAAATGATAGTCAATGTGACTGTAGAAATGTATGGACAGTGAAAACTGTTCAGATATAGGATGAAGTCAAAAGAAACTGAAGGGTAATTTTTACCTTCTATCAATGGTACACAGAGATGGTGGAGCCAAGATGAGTCACACCACATATGACGGCTTTCAGTAAGTCCTACAACCGTTAATGTGTGTGAACATTCAGTTCAACCTGGTAAAGACGGTTCAGAGACCTATCCAGACTGTTGCTCTCCTTAGGCTGAAGTGCTGCATTTTCCTTCCTGGACACCAGAACTGCTACTCTTTAGACAATAGATTATATAATCTTATGTTTTTCAGGTCTTTATAGTATTATATAATTTATATAAATATACATTTTTGAAAATGTCATCATGAAGAGACTACACACATGAATGTGTATGTGTCTATAATTTTTTAACAAATGTGTCAAGTTAGCATTGCCTGAAACTAGTCACTTTGAAAATCAAGCTCTTCTTGATGTATGTCATTATGCAAAACATTTTATAATTTCTTCACAAAAAATTACAGAGCAATAGCATGACCTTTACATTTTGGAAAGAGCTAGTCAATACAAGGTAAGCCTAATGAAACACACACAGAGAGGCAATAGTTTCTTGCATCAAAAGTAAAACATGACTGGTAGAGCACATGGAAGAAAGGGAAAAATAGGTTATAATATATTCTGCAAAACATAATCTTATATTTAAAAACAATTATTTTTCTATAGATACAGAATTATATTCACCATGTCTTTGTCTTTATTTTATCGAAGCACCTATTACTTTTAAATTCATATGGAAGAAGGATGTCTCTGAAAATTGTTTCAAAAATTTGCCCGTTAGGCAATTCCAAAAGAGACCTTCCATACATAGTTTGTGCAATAGATGCCTCCCTAAAATAAATATAGAGCTTCTTAGAGCATGTTAAGGTTAATATTTATTTAAGTTCTCATTTATTTAATGCAAAATGATTAGAAAAATGTATACCAAAAAATGACACTGATTATCTTTGGGAATATGGCATTCTGAGTGTTTTTTATATTGTTTTCCTGTTTTGATTTTCTGACTTAGAAAAAAGAACAGTGAGCATGTACTATTTTTGGATTAAGAAAAATAGTAGTATGTTTTAATGTTTAGAAGTTTAGTAACATTGAAACAGGCATACATTCCTTTAAAAATCAATAAATTGCTGTATTTCCCAAGACACAAATATATAAAGTCACTACTTAGGCTCACTACCTTAGGCTGTATATTTGCTTTTGTTTACTGTTTCCTTGGAGATTTATACTGAAGGAAAGTGGGACTATCTCTAATTTTTATGATATAATTTTCTAAACACTTCAGTTGCTTGCTCTATACACATTGATCAAATAATGTTGTGGATGGAAGAGAACTGAAACATCATGAGAACTGCCTAAGAAAGTCAGAAATTATAAAGAGGCAAAACTGGGAGCCTTGTAATGCCTGTCAATGGAAGCAAGACTCAGCTGCTAGTCATGCCTCCTCTCATGTGTCCTCACCTGCATCCTGGGACAATTTTATACCTTTAACAGGGTGTGAGACTTTAGGGTTTTATAAGCCTATATGCCTAAGCCTATGCACTTCAAGATTCATAATTTCAGAAATTCCGTATTTCCAGAATCAGCTTCTTAATAGCTGGATCAAAATATCTGTCAAAAGAATTTGACTTGTGATAATTATTGCTTTTCTTTAGAACAAATCCCTTTCGTGGAAAAACCATTTTGTCTGCCTGTCTAGCTATCTCTACAAACATCACCACACATATTAGTTTTGAATATAATAAATAATGTGTTAAAGTGGTGTATTTTAAAATATCTCCAATCTATTTTAATCAGTGAAGGTCAGCAGGAGAATCTAAGAGACAGTCTGCTGTCTTAAAACCAAGAAGGCTAAAAATCTCAGATTTTACTAGTTCTCATTCTGAAGAACATCCCTAGCATGTAATTTTATCATTAATTTACTTCGTATTCCAATATAACACTCCATTTTCTTTTTTCTTTTTGCACAGAATCTGAAACAACAAAAAACCCACATATATAATCCCCAAGCCATAGCTCAAAAAAGGCCAATCTGTATTAGCATTGGTGGATGCTTTTCAAAATTTGGAAGAAGCACAGGTTGAATAAAAATTAATGTATTCAGAAGAAAATAAAGCCTTCTTATGAGGCAGGATTTGATGTCCACTCTTGCAGCAGATCTCTGTCCATACTTAATACCTTTGCATATAAGTAACAAAAAGAATCTACTATACCTGGTTTTTAACACTGGCATATCTTTTCAGATGTTTTATAAATTCTGGCCTAGAAGTGTTCCGTGCAATTATAAGAGCCATACTTCCATTATTTAATCTGAAAGTAAATATTTATATTTGACATTGTTTATTAAGATATCACATCAGAAACGTTTCTATATTAATCCTTTTAACAAATATGGTATTTACTACAAGTTTTAGGCAAGCTAGATAAATCATCATCATAGTAAATTTATTTAAAATTCTTAAACCATATTTTGCTGTTTTATTTTTAAATAATACAGCCTTTAAAATTCATTTTATTAATCAATTGGCTTCCTTCTCAGCCAGCTCTTACATTCAGGGCTTTTTATAAAACGAACTATCATGCAATCAATCTATTGATATAGCAGGATGTAAATTAAAAACCAGTATATTTACTTAAAGATTCTAAATGCGAAAACACATATGTTTTTTACAGATGTACTATAAAACAGTAAATATGTACAAATGGTATAACAAACAGTTCAACAGTTTCTAAAATCTAAAATTGATTTAAATATTTATTTATGGGCAGGTCTATGTGACACAGGAAATTGAATCAAATGGGCCCAATGGATGACATGAATGAAATGAACAAAGGCTGCCACACATGTTCAGTTAAACTACTAAGCATTTTAGTCTTGCCTAACTGTTGGGTTGAATGTAAGAGACTGCAAAGTTAGAGTGTGTTATTTATTTCAAAGAAGCCACTACATATGTATGTAGCTTTAGAAGGCCGTTTGCAGAAGTACATGCAAATGACTGCTAGCTCAATTTCAATGCAAATATAAAGTTATCCCAATAATAACAGCAAAGAAATTTTAAAAAGAGCTGTTTAAGTCTTGTGAAAGTTCAGGTTAGAGCTATAAGAGACCTTGGAGATTATCCATCATTCAATCAGTTTATGTAGATGGAAAAGGAGACCCTAAGTTTAAGTTACTTGTTCAAAGGCACACAGAGAAAAGGTGATCATAGAGCCAGAGCTCTTAATTCTCAGAGTTCAGTGCTCCTTTGACCTGTCATGCCATCTCTTCCTAGCCGAAAGTAATACCAAAACATTCTCTTTTAAATTTGTTTAATTTTTGCTCATAAACATGAAAATCATTTTATATTCCACTTTTCAATGCTTACTAACAATTAGAACATACCCTATGCGCCTGGCATAAATTAATAAAAATATCCTTTCTTTCTCTAACTTAGGATACCTGCCTGTTTATTACCTTTATATGAATTGCCAAAGCAAAATAATAATAATAATAATAATAATATCATCAATCCTTTTTGCTAGATGTTATTCATTTGGTTAAATATTTTATAGGGAATATTTTGAAACTAATCATTAAAATAATGTTATAAATTGCCAAAGTACATTGGTTATTCTTTTATTCCACCTCCAGGAAAAATCTAGATTTGACTATATTACACAACATTCATGATTCTTTCTTCTATGCTCCACAGGAACAGGAGAGAAATCTTTTCAGACTAATAATGGATAGCCACTGAAAAGAATGTGCAAGAGATAAAATATCTATATCTTACGGGTAAAACAATATATAAAATGTCTCACAATGTTTTACAGAAAATGTGGACAGTAAGACTAACTGAAATGTTTCTTTTGATTAAAGGTTTCACATATATACACATACATGCTTTTCATGCTAAGGGTATTTATGTCTGCACTAAAATTGGAAACCAGAATTAAATACAATATTCTCAACAACTAATGAATAAAAAGAAAGCAACTGACATAAAATAACATAATAACATCATGTCAGTAAAACCTAAGGAATATTACTTACCTTTGGTGACATTAAAAAATCAGAGTAACTGTCTGATCATTTTTCTAGTTTAACAGTTGTTCTGAACCTACTCTAATGACAAATTCCTTAAAATTTCTAATATGATACAGTCAAGGACAGAATACCTCTTCATAATATTCTAGCTAGCCAAGAGTTGAGGGGTAGAGGTATTCGAATGAAAATTTTGGTTTATAGAAAAGTATCAGTGATTCAATAAAAATGCTTACTAACCTGGTATAAGGTGCCAACCCTCTAGGTGCCACAGAACACAGGCAAGGAATTGCCATAATGCTGACATTCAAGAACTGCCCCTGGATCATTTGCCACTGAGTGTTACAGTCTAAAGATAATGAAAGTGACTGGTTACTTTCCCCCACCAGGGCAAATGTCAACAGAACCTGGCTAGTTCTCAAGGAGGTACTTTTAGACTCACTAGATTTGGGAGATCCCTCTTCACTCCTAAAAATAAGAAAACAAACAAAAAAATCACCAAAAAATAGCATGCATTAAATATAAGAAAATCATAGAATCCTATATTACATATATTAAATACTTCCTGAAATTAGACAATAAATAAAAATATGTGAAAAATTCCATTATTAAATTATATTGTATTATTCACTTACAGGTAGCATCACCAGTTAAAAAAATGACTTTTTTTTTAAAGGCTACAGTACTTCCTTTGTGTGACCTTGATTAATATTTGTATTCAACACTCAATTGAAACTCTCATGAAGGTAGAAACTATGGGTTTTGTTTATTTGTCTGTTTTAGGGCTCATGTGTCCAGTGTGGTTGGAATACATTAGGCACTCAATAAATAGCTGTTGGATGGATAGAGGATGGATGGATGGATGGATGGATGGATGGATGGATGGATGGAATGAATGGTTGTTTCAGAAGACAGAAGCCAAACTACATGGCCTGCTAGTATCTGTAGGACTCCACAATTCTGTAGTATTCACTAGTATATTAGAAAAGTAACCAAATACCCCAAGTCTAACAAATTGTCTATATCAAACAATTCTATGCTTTAAAGAAAGACAGATGTAGATATTACTTTCAGCTTTTTGCCTACCGTTCTGGAAAATCTGGAGAGCTGTTCAATGGTAAAAATGATATTTCACAGTCCTCTGGCCTAAAATACAGTGAAATTTATCATTAAAGTCACGGATTCTGGGATAGAAAATTATTGGTTTGAGAAAAAAAGACTTACTTAAGTTTTGCCAGTGCCTTAATTACAGCAAAATCCCTCCGTTGGTTAGGGGACATCCATCGATGTTTTTCTGCCAGAGCCAAAGTTCTTCCACCAAAGCCAAACATGGCTGAGAAGCCAAAGCGAAGAAGCCTGCCAGCAGTGCTGAAGGTGCAGACATCAACTGGTTGTATGTGCCCTTGAATGTTACATTAAACGTTAGTCAATCAGTGAGTGCACAGCAGTGCCAGTTGTCAGAATGGCAAACACAGAAGAGAAGACCATATTTATTTACTTATAGAAGATCTCAACTGACTTTATATCATAATGAATATTTTTTGCTTTCGCTTCATTTCTCTTTACCGACATATACTGCAATTCTTATTTGCAACTTTTTCAGGTACTAAGGGAAGAAACACAAGGTAGTAAATTTTGCTGCTTATAGGTATTTCACATAAAACATGGTTAGGAAGTAATGTTGTAGTACTTGTACAAAGTAAACTTAGATTTAACAGTAGTGTTGCATTGCACTTGAGTTTACATGCTTTCCATCAATTGGGATAATAAAAGGTCTAGCAGATGTACACTGGTTAAAAAGTGTTATTGTGTGTTTTTTTTCCCTTTAATAACATAATCCTAACCCAAGTCTTGGTACAGTCAAACAGTACTACTTAAGTAGTGTGCATGGATTTCTTTGACCTGGATATAAAATTGTGAACTTAACATCATCGCAAAAGTTTTTCTATCAAGACTGTAGCATTACTTCATTTACTATTCTTCCTAGCATCTGTATAATGAAATGATAGGCAATCCAAACAATGAAGTTGTGCCTTATTTACTTTTAGGTTTTAATCAAACATTTCTCTGCTTTGAGAGACAAAGAACCTGTTGTTTGTTTGTTTTTTTCAGGCAAGTCTGACAAATAAAATAGCCTTCTTTGTATTAATATAAAAACTTCCTTATAAAACAAACTTCTTTGAAATAATTCTTACCCATTATAATATGCAAAGTTGCAGTTACCACGTGAGCAATTCCATGAAGAGAATGTGCCAATACATTAGTAGAGCCTGCCAAGTCAATTTGAAAACATGTACAATCAATGTAGCATATGTTTTAAATTAACCATTTGCTCTTACTTTATACAATGTCAATACATAATATTCAGATGATAAATTAATGGAAATTTATGTTTACATTCACAGTTTAGACACATATCAAATGGTTACTGAATGATTAATCTTCAAACAGCTTCAAAATTAGAAAATCATTTACAGTATCTTCTTACAGCTTTTTCCATCATGAATGTCTATTTTCTACCAAAAAATACTAGCTATATCAAAGTCTACTCCTTCCAACTTAATAAATGGGCTTCTAACTTCTACACCAAAAGAAGTACCAACAGCGGAAGGATGTCTCTAGAGAGCAGAGACAAATGTATAAATACCTAAATAATGAAAATCCAAATAATAACTAAGAAAAATAAACAAAATCACCACAAAGTATAGAAGACATGCTTTAAATACATTTAATGAATCTTAGGAGGTAAACTCTCATCCAAACAGGGATTCCCCTTTATCATCTGACATAAGGTATCCTAGATTAAGAAAATATTGAATTCCACAGTATTTGTCACGGTATGAAAATCTGTATTGACACATTATAGATTATCCTATAGATTAGGACAATTTAAAATCCACAGGAATTTTTCCCACCTACAGGAGAAAAGAGCTCTCTCAAATCAGCCCTTCCCACATGTATGTCTCTCAGATCTTGGAGTAAAGGCCTGGTTCTGAAGGGGACCTGCCATGCCCAGGGGATAAAAAGGGTTTAAAATTAAGAGGCTATGAGCTTTCTTCAGTTAAATAATACAAGAAATCAATCCAGTAATCACTGAGGCCTGTAAAAACATGAATATGTTATATACCATGACTTTCAAGACAAACACTCATCCCTGGATTTGTTAATCAGAAACATTCCTGTGTGAGAGCATGTTTTAGCCTCTTCAACTTGTGTCACTGTGAACGGATGTGGGCTTGAGTTGCTCAGTTGGAAAAGTGGCCGTAACTCAGGCACTATCAACCAAGGCCATCATTAAAATAATAACAACCATTAGGGATCTGCCTAAACATGAATGATTTCCAGACCTCCAGTAATAGCAATGCAAAGAAAAGTCCACCTTACCCAATTAATAAATTGGTCCCAATTGCTTGACCAAAAGGCAAGTTATGCTCTGACCCCTGTTACTCAGAATATGGCCCAAAGTCCAGCAGCAATGACAATACCTGGGTGCTTATAAAGACTGACTCTCAAGCCCCACTCCAGACCTACCAAGGCAGAGCCTGCATCGTGGAAGGTGCACAGGTTATGTGTATACACATTAAGCTGGAGAGGCTCTCCTAGAATGCACGGTCCAGGGAGCAAGCTTGGGAGCTTATTAGAAAGACATATTCCTGGGTTCCACCTCTAACGCATAGAAGTGCCATGTCTGGGGTGAGGCCCAGGTAGGTGTTTCTGTTTTAGCAAGTCCTCAAGGTGATTTCCATGCACCCCAAGGTTTGAGGACAAGTGGTCCAGAAACCTGTTACTCTGTGGATCTTTACCCAGGACTCCGACACCGAGTCCTTTTTAATAATCCTTTGACCCTCTATAGCCTGCCCTATGGCCATCTAATTGCTAATTAATCTGGACTGGGGAGGTGGGGGGAGGAAACAAATCAATGTATTTTTCTTCCCAGTCAGATTTATGGTAAAGGCTTTGAAGGAAGCCACATAATTAGAGTGAGATATTTAGGATTATCAATGGATTACAGTACTCCATGAAACCCATTTCCTCCATTACCATGGTTAATTAGGGATGGTCATAAAAGCATTCCTCTAGAAAGGTTATTAAAAAGCATAATGTAATGTTGTCATGTGCAATAGAGAATGACACATATCATGATTCAAGAAAATAAAGATTGTTTATTCCCTGTGAGTCTGAAAGTATGGTAAGCATGCCCAAGCACAAAAGCCTTTAGAATACTAGAGGTCACTGTTTTATGTTTATGTCTTCTCAGGTTTTGCAACTTTTCCTTAATTCCGTGGAACTCGGCAGTAAAGACACACACAGCCAGAAGTCAGAAAATTCTTTTAGTCATCTTCTACTCCAATTAAGCTGTACTTTAGTCCTTAGGAATGGTATTTTAGATTCTAAATTAAAAAGAAATAATATTGTAATAAGCATTTATGGTACCAGTTGGGTTCTGGAAATATCAGGAGTATCACTTTGTAAACTATGTGATAGTCTAACCACTATGCTGTGCAGCTGAAACTCATACAAAATAGCATTAAATGTAGACTATAATTTTTAAAAATTTTTTAAATAAATAAATAAATGACTTTAAAAAAATGGAATAAATAAATCCAATGGAGGGAAAAAGTTCATGAGGAAAGTCGATGTGAAATTGTAAAACTATAGACTGCTCTATATTTTTATTTGGATAATTTAAAAGACAAGTACAATTTCCTGAAACAGGATATGATTCATCTTAAAAGATGTCTACATGCCAAAAGGCCCACTGCTCATATAAATAACAGCTATGTAATTTTAGCATTCTCACGAAAGCTGTAAATGTCCTATCTCAAGGTAAACATTTTAATTAGCCTGAAAAGTGATTTTTCTTAACACTACCAGCAACTTTGCTCACTCACCACAACCTTCCCAGACTGCAAAAATGCACCAAATACAGAATAAGGCCAGAAGGTGCAGGTCATGTAAAGCGTGACTGAGAGAAGTACTAGACAGAAGCCACAGAGGCAAAAAGAAAAAAGAAAAAAAATTGTCCTTGGAAGTGCAAGCACTTCTGCAGAACAATTAACTTAATTAACCAGATACCATGAATATTCATAAGGCCGTTAATGTCTCCCACATCTAAACAGATAAATGTGATGTAATGACTTCCCAGTCAAGCATATCTAAAATTCTCATGAAAATTGCACCTACACTTTGGTTCTATGCCCGAAATATCATAGAAATTAACAGTCCCATGGCAATATTTTATGTTCCTCCAATTAATTGGAAAGCATGAATTTATTTATGTGGACTCTATAGGAATATATGGTTCGCAGAATCAGTATGTGGATTGAGCCTTGTTTTACAACAACTGGATTGCTTTTTTTAATTTTTATGTCCTCTCAGGCTTCTTTCTCTATCCTCTCCCCAACCCACACCCGCACACCCTTTAATCTGAATCTCTCTGTATAGTTTCTTAGCACCAGTTCCCATAGCAACAAACACCACTGCTAATGGCCAGCAGTTCAAATATAGGCTTCTCCACATCTGATCCATTTGAGTCTGACCATAATTCAGCAGCTTAGTCTGCTGGCTCAGTGAAGTAATTTACTAAACACTATCCCTCTGGGTGTCTCTCTCCAGGAGGCAAATGGCTTCAAAGGCAAACTGTCTTCTGTGTTGAGCTTAGAAACTTCCTGCCTAGCTCTTGTTCTCACAAGTAAGATAGGGCCCTCATATTAAATACATCCTGCACCTGACTTCTTCCTCCTATTCCATGGAGTCCATACACTGGAGCCCCGATACAATGACCAGAGTTTTGGCAACACGTTGTATCTTCTAAACAATAAATATTTAATTGGCACTTCTACACATCCACTGTATACAGAAAATGCTTTCAACATCAGAGATATGCTTAAAAGCATAATGATAAAACTTGATGCTACTCCTTTATAAAATTTGAGTTGTATATTAAAAAGATAAGTATAGCCACCAGTTTTTCTAGCTAACTACTCACTTTAGGTCAAATGCATACCTGTGGGGACATCCACCCTTCCACTTTTAATTCTCAGGAGTTAATGAGTGACCTCAGGGGTAATGAAGGAAAACGGTGACCTAAGTATAGCCACTGTGCACGGAGGAAATGCTGACAAAGTTCCACCATTATAGGCAGAGCTACGAAAATGACACAAAAAGGTCAAAATGGCTGGCTCCAAATGCATCTCTTTTTCTTGCTTTCTGAGTTGAGTTTATTTTGTTCTCTTCTACTTAAAGACCACAACGGGTTCTCTATATGCCTCCCAATTAACAGGGTATATCCGAATATCCTTTTAAATTCTTGTTTGTGTGACAGACTTTATACTCTAAAAGAACATCTGTATAGCTAAGTATACTGAAATTGATGCTAAATGAATGTGATTATCAGAGAGATAAAACATTGATCTTTCAACCATGTGCGTTATTTTCTGTTTTCATAGAAAAGAATAATTGTTTCTGCTTTTCTTTAGAGATAATGTGTGATTCTTTTAATGAAAAGAAATAACCTTTCCTTCACTATTGTTTGTTTAAATAGAAACTTTGAAGAAGTGACCCACATAACTTCATCAACACACAAAAGATATTTTCCTCTCTTCTGGACGCCTGTGTGCTCCAGCTGTTCCCCCAGCCTCCGACCTCCACGTTCTCCTGCTCCCTTCCCCTGACCACCAGCCCCCCTAGAACAGGCTCCCAGCAGGCTGCTCCCACCCTCTGAACCTCTCATTGTCCTGTTGTCTATAGAATACCATTCAGGTGCCTTCCTGTGGAATCCAGGAGCCACTATAGTTTGGGTCCTGTTTGGCACTGTTATCACCCAACAAATGGTCCATTTTCTATTCATCAGCACTCCTGGGTTCTGCCTTGGTATTTATTACTTTTGCAGGCAAAACAAATAAACAAACAAACAAAAAAAACCTCATTCTCATTTTTTCACGTCAGATCCTATCAACCCATTTTTAGGCTTATTTCAAATGTCACTCTAACATTGTCTTTAAATTCATTCACTTAGTTAAACTTAATGATTGCGTGTTCACTGTGCCAGGTTCTATTCTAATTACTGGAGATACAGCAGTCAGAATAAATCATTTGGTGTTTTCAGGGTTATCTGTTTACACTTTGACTAAGGATTACCACATTTTACCTCATATGAGATTATAAGCAGTTTGACTGGAATGGCCCTGTTTTGAAATTTCATTATCTGGGGCTGTGTGATCATGAGACCTTAATATGGAAAGGTAGAATAATAATTATCCCATGTATTGATCAGTTTACTATGTATAAGACCTTCTGCACATACCATCTAATTTAATACTACACCCTCGTAATGAAGTGACCATTATGTGGGTCATCTCCCCTTCATGGATGAAGAAAATGAGGCCCAAAGAAATTAAATAACTTGCCCGAGTCTCACATTTACTAGTGGAGATGCCAAGCTTGGGTCTTTCAGACTCAACGTCTATGCATTTAACTCTGTTCCACTGTCGAGGTTAGGAGGTAAAACAGGGAGGAACAGAAAGATAGAAGGAGTGGCCATTTAGCACCCCCTGGCCCCCTCCTTGCCTGCTGGTATTATGCCCAGGGGCAGCTGTGCCGGGACAGGAGTCAGGGTGCCGTCCGCCTCCGGGCCTGCGCTCCTCTGGGCTCTCAGCAGTAAAGCGTGGGCTACTTCACTGGCAGAGCCATCTCCCCCAACACAGACGACACTGGAAAATGAGAAATTACGTAAAACAATGCAAAACTTCAAAATAACTGATAATAATTCACGAAATCTAGACGTCAAAATATTAACCTCATCTATTCTATGCGCATGATTACCACACACCTTCAAACACTTTAGCATGTGTCAGTGGGTAAGAAGACACCAGCACTGCACGGGCGAAGTTTACTCCATGAATGTAATACCTGGATGATTTTAAATGGGTGTGGAGGTATAAGAACATCTGAAGATGTGAATTTACGTCTGACCTGCATTTTGCTCTTTTAATACCCCAAAACATAATATTCTTATTTTGTTTATGTTAATAATAGTGAGGTGCAATTCATTTCACTGATGCAAACAAAAAGTCATAAAATCCTGCTAATTTTCAATATAGCTCTGAAAAGACAGCAATAAAAGTCATGTAAAATATGAGCCTGTAATTTAAGGGACTGCTAATTGTCATTAGTATATGTGTGTAGTAATTACAAACCTGAACTGGTTTTCATCTCCTGGACATTACTGCTATTTGGCACTTCAAAAATTAGTGTTATTACCCTTTGACTCTAGCCAGTACTGCTAATCTTTTTTAAGACTTCATGATAAGTAGACGATAGCGGTGTGGAGGTGGGACTCCATGAAAGTAATATATAAGATATCAGACATTTGTTTCATAATCATTTGTAATTAAAAGATTCAAAATAATCTTAAGTAGCAAAATCATCTCAATTTTCACAAAAGGAGGATTTTGTTATTGAAAGCAGGTTTCACGGCTCAAGGTCGAAAGGGATGGAGCAAGAATGGAAGAGTCCGTTGGGGCTAAAGGGGAGGTGTTGCTCAGTCCCCACCCACTCACATCCTGTGGGAGGCAGGGCTGGAGGACCGCATCTTCTGGGGTTTGTTTTTTTTCTTCTTAGAGAAGCCACAGATTCTGATTTTGGGATGAGTTTCCTAATTTGTAAATACTAGCATTCTATGTATTTAAAAACTGTGTGTCAACAAAACAGCCTGAGGGCCATAATCAGCAGGGGTTACTGGCTCCCTAGACTCCTGAGGCTGATGAATCCAGAGGCTAAGGAACTCACTCCAGGAACTCTCTCACAGAGCTCTCAGCCTGACAGCCCCCGCACCTAGCTGAGGTTTAGCCCTACTGCTGCACAGAGCTTGGGCGATCCAGGCCTGCTCTAGTTATAAGAGGTTCCAGGGTATACAGTATGACCCAGGCCATTTGTGGCTTGGGGTATTACTTTATTTCTGAACTAATTCCACAGGTTCACTTTCTGGCCACTGATTCAGAAAATAGTGAATATACATACTGGGCCAATTTTATGTCAGATGACACAATGGCTCTTTTCCATTAAATTCTCAGAATTCTGTAAAGTAGGCATTAGCCTCATCTTTATAAGTGGGGAAGCCAAGGTTTGATGTAAACCTTACCTGTATGATTTTAAAAATCTCTATGAGCAAATTTTCAAACACTCTATAAACTTAATTACAATTTCCAGATCCACTTCTATCTACTTGCTGAGGTGAGTGTGGCCCAAAATGAGCAAGTAAAGTCATCACATAAAGCACCTAACTTAGTACCAAAGACCTTCCATATATCTGGGCAACATTTGACCCCTGGGATCCTGGATCCAGTTATACCACCATGTACCTACTAATGCATGACTAGAATTAGTAGAGATGGCTTCTCTAAGAACATGCTCTGCTACAAAAACCTTTAAAATGTTATCATAACAACATGCTGTGGTAAGTATCTTGCTGCTATACCAAATGATAATTACAACAATAAAGTAACATTCAGTGAATAATTACTATGTACCGGGCACTGTTCTCAGCACTCTCCAGGCATTAATTCATTTAATTTGAACAATAACTGTATGCAATGATATACATTTATATTCAAGTTACAGGCTAGGAAACTAAGGCACTGAAATATTAAGTAACTATTCCAAGATCATACCATAGTAAGCTATAGAATGAAGATTTGGAACAAGACAGTTTGGCCTTGGAGACTGAACTTTGATTCAAGATATTATTTTCCTTTCCTATGTATAAAAATCTAATGAAAAAAAGCCTTATGAGAGTTTTATTATTTTGAAAATCAGTTTACCAGTGTAATTAATATGGAATTAAATGAGTTAGGAAGGTATATATTTATTTATGTTGATTATTACTAGGTCATTAAAATCATCTTCGCATGTAGTTACTTGACCTAGGGAGCATACTCAATACAAACATGTTACAAGGGTCTAGATACTACAAGGCAGAAAATATCAACCTTTTTTACAATTTTTTTATTGTTGTGCAATTACAGTTGTCCCCATTTTCCCTCCATTACTCTCCCCTTCCCTACCCACCCCCCACCTCCCACATTCAATGCCCTCCTCCTGGCCCCCCACACTGTATTTGTCCACGGGTCCTTTATTTATGTTCCTTGACCTGACCCTTCCCCTTCTTTCCCCCGTTTATAATGAGTTCTTTTAACCACACTTAAGAGTTACCCTAAAACATAAACCTTAGAGTAACTAATATTCTGCATGTGGTATATCTTATGCTTTTAGGGTAAGTAAATTTCTTCTTCTTGTCATGGCCTCAAGTAGAATGACTCTGTCTAGAAAAGTAAACTGGAGGCTAATATCTTAGTTCTCTTTATAAAAACTAAAAAGAAAAATTTTAAATGGGTGTTTGTGCATGTGTCTATCAACCAAAATCATCTTTGAAATGTTTAATATATCATTGGATATTTCATTTAAACTTTTTTGGAAAAGAGATAGTTTTCTCTAATCTTAGTGATACAGGTATCATGGTCAATATGACAAAATATCAATGTTAGCCAAATAATGTCTCAATTATTGTAGATCTAGTTAATGGTAAAATTGACAAAGAGAAAAATATATAATTCAATAAATTCAAATAAAAACACTATGATACAAAATAGGAAACTATAAATAATTATAATTGCTTAAGAGCTATTGATTAGCTTAACATACACTTATATATTCAACTGTTACAGCTTCAAGTCTTTTTTCTTTGCCTTTACAAAACGTCCTATTTATGCCCAGTATAAAGAGGGGCCAATATAGAAACTGCCTGTTCCTAAAATTTTAGCAGTGGATCTGAGCGTTGGCTAGAACACACTGGAGTTGCACACCAGCTGTCATGAGTACTGATACACTGTCCCTGAAGGCTTTAGAAAGATGTCACAATGTGTCTTCATAGCAACATGTAACTCATTAATCTTAGCAAATAACATTTCTTAAACAGTACTTACCAAATCATTTTTGCTTTACTGAATAATATACATAGAATCTTTCTATGATGATCTTAACCTCTCTGTGTGTGTCTAAAAACGTTTAAGAGATTTCCTAATCACGCCCTATCCATAGCTCCTCTAGAGTCAGGCAGAGATGTTTCAAGCTCATTCCTGAAGGAATGATAACCCCTCTCTCATCAAAATCCCATAGAATATTGAGGTTACCTTATCCCATCTTTGAGTCTTTATATATACTCTTCAAAAAATGTTCCTATGTAGCCCTGGCTGGGTGGCTCAGTTGCTTGGAGCATCGTCCCATACAACCAAAAGTTGAGGGGTCGATTCTTGTTCAGAGAACATACCTAGTTTGGATTTGATCCCATCAGGGTGTGTACAGGAAGCAACCAATTGAAGTTTCTCTCTTACACGAATGTGTTTCTCTCTCTCTCTCAAAATCAATGAACATCCTTAGGTGACGATTTAAAAAGAAGTGCTCCTATATAGCATCTCTTTGAACAGGTTCAGGAACAGAAAACCCAGGAACATAGGCCATTTCCATTTTCAAATAGTTCCACTTCTTAGAAAATTGTTCTATGTTTCCATTGTTCTCCTCATATACCTATCTATGTAATTCTGAGCAGAGTGAATTAAAATTACCATTTTATTAAGATCCAAATTGCCATAGCACTTCCTACTGGAAAAAAATGAACCCAAGGAAATAAATAAGCTGTTCAAAGGATCTTAGAAAATAGATAATTTTCAATAAAAGTCTTACATTATAGTAAGTCCTAAATACATCAGTATGCTAAATTTTAGGAACAGTTAATTACTGGAATCAATTCATATAATGGTCAGGCCAAATTATTTGGTTTAAAAAATGTTGGTATTAACTAAAGGACCTATATATATATATTTTAGATCACATTGCAAAATAATATCACCTGTCATGTGAAATAAACAAGAATTAAGTAGGTTCAGATAAATAAGAAAATATTATCATACTGCACTTGAACAACAGTCCTTCGTCACTCTGCAAGTTCTTCTGATCTTTGCAAAGTATAATTACCAATGGAACTTATTTATAGATACCACATTTAGTGGAATACTTCATAATGCTGAAGGGCAAAACCAAGTCTAGTACCTATGGTATCTGTTATTTATATAATCATATAACAAGAGCTTTATTTGAAATGCAGACACACTTACATATACTCAGACACTGCGTTTCAGGACTATGCAGCATATTAAGGTATGTAGCTAGTGGCATGATGCTCCCAGTTACTTTTCTTATATCACATACTTGGAAGATAATTTCATAAATGTAGCTTATTAACTAACCTGTCTGACTCGAAATATGAATCTCCTGCCTCATATCCTCATCCTCAATTTTTATATAATATTGTTATCTAGATTTACTCCTCTCTATTAAATTACTTTTTGAAAAATCACTTTTTCACCCAACTTTTTTATCCATTATTTTTTTCTCAACAAAAACTATTAAGCACTTTGAAAAACAACTCTTCTAATATTCCATTTTGATTAGGTCATTTTCCTCCCTTAAACAGACTAATAGTTCTTTGAGAAGAGTAAAGCCTTTCACTTTGGTTGAAAAACCCAACTGCCCTTCCTGATAATGAGTTTTTTGTTGCCCCCTTACACATTAGCATGAGATGCAAATGGTTCACATATTTGTCACCTGCTAAAACTCTGAAACATCCACCCATGCAAAAAAAAAAATCCCTAAAAGAATGTTTTTGTCTTATACATCAATCCTGCACTTTAACAAATTAATTCACCTACTTTTTAGAAAATGGCCATTAAAGTATATGCCACTCGCCTGTTTTTAATGTTTACATTTCAGTTAACAACTTCTACACAGTTCAGCAGTGTACTACCACAAGCAAGAGTTTCCAATGCCTACTGTGAAATGACACGTTTATTGGGTAGCCACAAAATTAGAGAAGATAATTAAAATGAACATCTTGTATTCATTCTGAAAATAATATATTTGTTTCTATAAAATATTTACCCTCAATCACAACAACATAACTAGTGAGAGTTCCTATTAACACTCTCAATAAATTTGTAAGAGTGGATCAATGCTTTTCTAGATACTCACAGGGTAAAGCCAAGAATTCAGGACTATAGATGCAATGTATGCACGTAAGGTAAGTATAGGCTGGTACACTGTAGTTTCCCAGAACTAGTAATTAGATTCTCCTTTTGCTTTCCTGTGCCTGATCTTGAGCAGTGGATGACTGTCATTAATTATCATTCATTGTTATTACACAGATATGAAAGGAATAGAGCCTAATTACATATATCACAAATACTTAAAAATTATAAGTTCCAAGTATATAGCTAAAAACTAATGAAAACATTTAATAACACAAGCTATATGACATATATAGATCAATAATATAACCTACCCGTCAAATCCCTGTAGTTCGCATTCCTTTAGCAGTGACAGAGCGTGCCCTTCATATTCTGTTACTATTTTAAAAAATAGATAAAAACAAACACAAAAAGTGAAAGTTTTAAACAATGATCTACACTTTTTAACTTGGTTTGGCAAAATAATATGAAAAACATATGGTCAGGTCATAAAACAACATTTATTCTTGAATATTTATATTTTAATCATGAGAAAGAGGATTAGGTGTTACCGGCCTGATGTGTTTTATAGCTTTATGTAAAAGAGGGTAATATATTTGTTCCAACTACACAAGTCATTTGGGGATATCCCACACAGAACAGTTGGATAATTTATCTTGGTGCCTGTCCATTTAGTTTTCCCTAAATAAGATACATTTCTTTAAAATCAGAAGCCTAAGAGCAGGAGTATTTTGAAAATAAGGCATATTGGCTGGCATCAAGCAGTCAATGTTAAATTGCTTGGCAACCTCGCATGAATAAATTAGTTGAAAGGTTAGTGTAAGATTTACATACTAGAAGAATGTGTATCTGGAACTGCTAGACTACAAGGAGGAGGAGTTGGATGTGAAAATGTGAAGCAAAGCCAACACCGATGATAACAGATCCAACGCCGAGGAGGGTGGCACAGGCCCACCAGAGCTGCATCCTCAGAGGAAATGAATCTGTCACTCCCTATCGCTGTCTCTACAGTTATGGTGCCCTATGCAGTATTGTAAATGCCAGTGAAGACAGGATAAACTGGCACACTGCAGATGGCACCAAGCATCCCCACCACATTTAGCATTTTCTAGGGTAGCTCTGCCAGAAGAGATGGCCCAGCTGTATCCGCCCATCAAAGATTTCTGCTGACTGACATGACATTGCAGATGGATTTTTTTGTGTAAGAATGTGCATCATTATATGCAAGATTACATTAATCTTTCATGCCTGCCTGTCCCTGGTGCCAGCATGGTTCAGGCTTTTCCTACAATGTTTTTTAGATATTGTTAAAAATTGTTAGTCTTGGTGTCTAAAAGAATCATTCTGTATCCAGCAGCATTACTTTGTAATTCTCCCATAGCTTAGTCAAATGCCATTATATTTACTTGAATAGACCCTCTTTCTGTTAAATTATAATCAGAAGAAGGCTACAAGCTTGGCTATTTAAGCTATCATAAATGATTTTGTATTGATCATTTATTTTTAACCTCAGTTAGTAGTTGCAACCTTAAATGCAAAATAATAAAATATCCACATATACACATTAAAAATAATTAAGAGTACTATGAAGTAATAGTTATACTGAGAATCAGTTAATCAAATCTTGCTTTTATACCAAAGCTTACTTTGGAACAGCTTTTCAAACCCAATACAAAATTAGTTTTAAAATTACATCATGGCTGAATGCTATTTTTATTTAGATAAAATTTGAAATAATAGTTTCTTTTTCCCTTTTATCTTGCAGGTGGCATTTGATTATACACTAATGGAAATTATCAAAGAAGAATAATTTTTAAGTGACATTGTATATGAGTTAAATAAATTCACAGAACTGGAAAAAAGACATAGAAAAGACTAAACAATACTGATCACAATATATTAGGACAAAATGAATAAAGTCTTTGACCTCAGGGAGTGTACATTTTGGAGAAAGACAACATATAAGAATTTTTTTAAAAAAAATGTACAATATAAAGTCGTAATAAGTGATTATAAAGAAACATAATGTAGGGGAAAGGACAGAGTAATCTGGACTACAATTTAGATACCGTAGAAGGACTCAAAATATGTTTAGATGGGATATGATGGGCTCTGGTATTAGAAAAAGCCAGATTCAAATCATGCCACTCCAAATGAACATAAAGAGTGGACTCCTTGGCAAACGCAGTTGCAGAAGGTTTTGAGCCTCCTCTTCTATCTATCCCAGTCCAATGAGGCTCATACCCTCCACCCCTTCTATGTAGGAAATTCAGTCTCTATCATTTCCAAGTCTTCAAACACACAGTTCTCACTGCTGGGATCCCCTACCCTTACCTTCAGTTTAAATATTACTTTCCCAGAAAGACAAAACTGGAAGAGAATAATGTCCTGATGTTGATATTGAATGGTGATGAGAAAATGGACTGAAGTAAAATCAGATGATTTCACTTCGATTTAAGGAAACATTTTTTGATCTGGTGATAAAATTCTATAATTGGATTAAATGCTGAGATGTCATTTTCTTTCCTGTCTTATAGGTGCTTCAAACTTAGTAAACTCAAAAAAGGAATCCATTATTTTCACCTTTAAATATTTTTTTCCTCAAATATATTGTCCTACTTGTATTCCATAATTCATTCCCCATTGCCCGAGATAGGAAAATGACTTTGTCCTAAAATTATCCCTCTCCTTCACTCCCCACAACCACTGCACGGTCAAGGTCAGTTGTTTCTGTCTGTAATTATGTGGCAGCATCCCAATGTGGCCCAAGCCAATGCCCTATATGCAGTCACCGCCCTCTGTACTGTGTGGACTACAACAGCCTCTTCTCCCAGCTCTCCCCAACCGCTATCCTGCTCTAGCTGGAATGATCTTTCTCAAACACATATTTAATCATAGTATTTCCCTACATAAACTCCATTCATGACTCTTCACTGTCCCCAGGGATAAAGTTCCGACTTCCTAACTGACATCTGATTATTAGAAATGGGATTGGCCATTTACATCCAGTTATTTAAGGGATAATGAAAAGAACTTTTCACCTAAAATTTTCTCTCTCATTAGCTGGCTATGATATAAGAATACTTACTACCCAGAATTTTAATCAGAAGCAGGTAAAACAGAAATAAGTAATGCCTCAGTCTGCTAGCAGCTTTTGCAATTCAGTTTTTTTCAAATTGCCTCACTTTCTACAGGGTGATATGAGGAATAACAAGAGGCATTTCTAAAGAAGGGGAGGTTTCAGTTAGAGATACAAAGAGCCAAACGGAAAAAATTCAAAGAAGAGAGTTGGTAAAAGTTAGCTGCAAGAAGGAGATAAAAAGAAGTGACAATAAACTTCACTTTGATAATCCTGCCTAGGGCCAGCCAGGAAGTGAAAATTATCTGGTGACCGGGCACTCCCCTGGGCCCTGAGCTGGCAAAGATCAAGGCTGCATTCAGAGAAGTATCTTTGACCATAATAACGATAATGAGCATGACACGGTGTAGCAGTCCTTTGTTAGTACAAAGATTGACTGAAGGAGATAGAATTGCCTGTCATGAGTAAGAGAGATCAAGGATAGTTACTTACCTGTTTTCAAATATCTCAGTGACTCTTATACAGGAGATGGGACACATTTATTTCATTTAGTATATATTACCACAAAAGATAACACTAACTCTAGTAGACAAAAATTACAAGGAGGCAAATGTCAGCTCACAAATTCTCCGAGTTGTGCAGTTTATGCCTTGCACAAAGGCATCAGGCCAAAGAGGCAGGTGGGTTTGCAGTCCAGCCAGCACACCTACCCAACCTGCCGGGCGATCCGGAGCTAAACCAGCCAGCAGGGCAGCTTTTTGTAAGTCAACACAAAAGAGGTGTCCTTTTTTAATCTGCACAAAATCACAGTGACCTTGAATTCAAGATAAGGCTGCCCATCAGCATTGTCCGCTAATGGCGCACGCTGGCTTGATCGTAGGGTGCCAAGCCAAGGCTGGGCGCTCATCCTGAGGAACGCCACGCCCCTGCACGCCATCACACGGGGGAGACTGAAGTAGAGGGCCTCCAGAGGTCTCCCCACTTTGATTTCTTTGCTGCCTTGACTTTTTCACCTGATTAATCTTGGAATTATCCCATGAATCTAGGATCTCTCAAAATTCCTCTTCCCTTTAATGGTCTAATTCCTAAAGTCCTCTCTGCTATGGCAGGAAGAGAAAGAAATGGTTTCATATGCCAGCATGGGCTTACCACTCATGGTTTTGATTCTTATACCAAGTTATTAGGAAAAATAACAAAGTTCTTTCCAGTTTCTTCAAGAGGTTTTCCTGAGCCTTTATGAAATAAGATACTGCATTGGCGATGGGGGAATGCAACATTAGTTCATCTATTTCTGAAGATCCTGACATATATCCAGACATAGTTAGGGCTTCAGCACAAGCAAAATGAAAGGAGTAAATGTATTTTTAAGAATGTGATGAGATGTTTAAAAGAAATTCATAGAAAAAGTTACTTTAAAATGAATATATCTAGCTATAATTTTTCAAATCCTGCCTTATTTGTATAGCACTGTCTTCTAATGAATTAATCATTGTATAGAATTTATTATGTAATTCAAATTCTATTTGGACTTAACAATGTACACAAGATACACTGAAACAATAATTACACTGGACATACATAAAATATATGCTCTTTCTGCTTTGCTCTTTAATTTTTCTTTCGAATGAAGTATGAATTTAGTCTTATGAAACTGAAGTGCACAGCATTATGACATTTCTATAGCACTTTATAACATAAAAGGTAATTTCAAATATATTACCTTATTCAAAATACAAAACTACACTCTGAGAACAGGCAGGAGGATCCTAAAACTTTTTAAGTATCCATTTGTTTATTCAGTCTTTTATGCAAAATACAAAACATTTGTATATAAATATTTAGCCAATATATACGGAAATGCTTCTATAAGCAAAAGGTGCAATTTTATAATTTTGCCTGTAGGAGGAGTGTTGGGCAACTAATAATCAGCCATTCTGCACTAATACGTAAATTCTAAATTCGCTTCATGTAATATTCTAATTTTATTTTACATCAAACAAAATCCAATAAGATTAACAAACTTAGGGTAGAGAAAGCCCTAGAACATAATCTTTTTCTCTCCAATACAATTGTTTTAAGAAGGAATCCACATCCTTATAATTAGCTCTGCCTTAGGTCAGACTTTTGTACCAGTTTTCGTTCCTCGGATTTGTCCCTCTTTCCATCTGCTCTTTATTCTGCTGGCAGAATCCTTTCTGCTAAACCAGACTGCAACATTATGATAAAAAATTTATATCAACTCCGGATCAATGCCTGATGCGTAAACTCCTGAGCGTAGCCTAAAGATCCATCCGTCAGCTGGACTCCAACTTCCTCTAGTGTGCATTGCTGGGAGCCTTTCCAGGAGCCCATTTGCCCTTTGTTTCTCCCCACTGTAACCTGGATTCAGTTCAGGTATCCTCAGCCTTCGGGAAAAGGCGGTACCACCTGCAGCCCATGGGAAAGTTATGGACAGTTAAGAGAGTGGTTGCTCCAGGTTGGGCATACACACTTTATTTCAAACTAAAAGGAAGAAATTTAAACCCTTGTTCAAAATTAAAGCATGTTAGATCTCTCACATATGTATTTATTCAAATACCTTGTGAGATTTATTCAAATTTCACCCTACTAGATTTGAATAAAGAAAAACCCAATCCACTAGCAACCATTTTATGATGATGGAAAAGATCAGATTTAAGAAGTCAAAACTGGAAGGCAGAGACCTAGTGGTGTGGCTCAGTGGATTGAGCTCCAGCCTAAGAACCAAAGGGTCGCTGGTTTGATTCCCAGTGTAGAGCACATGCTTGGGTTGCAGGCCTTGTCCCCAGCAGGGGGTGAGTGAAATGCAACCACACATTGATGTTTCTCTCCTTCACTATCTCTTTCCTCCCTCCCTTCCCCTCTCTAAAAAAAAAAAAAAAAAAAAAAAAAGTAAGGCAAAGCAAAAGAACTCCCAAGATATTATGGGTACAATACACACACACCCTACTTGTTACGTGCCTGCCAACTGCCCAGTTCAAATATTTTGAGTTTCTGATAAAAATTAATATCACCCTTTTAGACCCCATAGCTCTTCTATGTTATCCCAATTATATTTATTTTAACTATCTGAGTCCCTAATAAACTACAGGTCACTCAAAAACAGGTAATATAGCTTCTTCATCTTGCATTCTGCATAATGTTTAACAAAATCATTCAACAAGAGCTTCTGGAACTGAATAACATATAGTAATAGCCACATAAAACTGGGTATTAAAGCAAAAATAGATGAAACAAAAACAAAGTAATTGAGTCTGCCAATAAATGTTTCCATTTTTTTACTTGTCTCATCCTAATATGAATTTCAAACTTGTCCTTCTGCCAATCTTTGAACATCTTCAGTGGGAAAGGATGATAGATCTGAACTGTTTCTTTTTCTAATAAATCACCTAAGCCAAAAGCCACAAAGACGAAAGGCTAACTCCTACACTACGATTGTATTTTAATTCAGAAATTCCTCTTGCATTTTTTTATGGTAGTTTCTCTTGAACTTCTCTTATAGTAGATCGATGTCTTTTCCGGTGGCTGACATGCCCACAATGATTGCCTTTCTTTTATTTTTAGAAACTCCCTTCTACCCCAATTCATCAAGTCATGAGGTGTGGGCTTCATTAACCTTAGTAACATTGCAAAACCCCTCTCCTGTGGTTGCAGCTGAGCAAAGCCTGCCGCTGTGGATCCCGTCCCCAGGAATTTATAACTGGGACTGGAATCCCAAGTGCACTCTGGCCTTGTCTTCTGAGCAGGCTTATTACTCAGTACTCTTCAAAAATTAAAATATGCTATAAATTTACACTGAATGTTAGCAAAGCTACATAGAGATGGAACCAGAAAAATTTAGGTGTGATTATCAACAGCATCACCCCTCCTTCTCGGTCCACCTCCCTGTGGGAAAAATAATCTTACCTCATAAAAACAAAGAAATTTGGTCATCAAATTCAAAAAGTTGAAAATGATTTTACTAATGTTCTTCCTATTAACTTCAGAAGCAGCAAATTTCTATTTTCCTGGGCACAAACCTAAGCACCTTTCTTATTTTTAGACAATGGATTTAAGCTTCCAGCCTGTCTAAATTCATCTAAAACCAGCAGTTCAGTGCTTAGTTTTGACCTAACCAGCAGGGGTCAGAGTCAGAACAAAAACCGCCTAATGAAGGATTCCATGGAAAGGCATCAAACATTTAACTAGGCAAAAATCAATTGCTTGCCCAACTGCAGGAAAAAAACGTGTAAATAGCAAACATGTCAATGAAGACATTGAAAAGTGTGTCGCTCCCTTTTATATGATACCTAATACTTTTTAAAGTCTGGAAAATGTGTTAAAGAGAAAATACTAATATTCTAATAAAAGTATCACAAAGAAAGAAAAAATAATTAAATTTATAATCCTGAAGCTGGCTGCAGTAGAGGTTATAGAAACACTTAAAACAGCTTTAAGTATTACAAGTAGTGTCCTGAATTTAGATTAAGAGCAAATTCAGGTTATTTTGCTTTCTTAAGTGTAATTCTTTTTTTAATGGCAAAACTATATTCTGAAAATGACTTACTTGTTACATCAATCTTTATTCCTGCAGTCTTCAGCAGTGGTTCAACCTTCTCATAATAGACCTGGGTAGCTTCTTTTTTGTGGCTTTGGGGGTTAAGGAGTATTTTTAATGACTTTGGTCTGTTTGAAAAACCTAAGAGACAAGCATAAAGACAAAGTTATAGTCTTTGTCAACATTTTTTTATTCCCTTTAAAACCATATACTAAGTCCAATTAGAATGTTACATACTTATTTAAATACTACTTGTTATTTTTATTTGAAAGTCTTATGAGTTTTCTTAAAAATGGCATTAGATTTAAATATTTACATTTCTTCGTTGTGAAACAGGAATATCCCTCTTAACATAAATTATGGGTTATAACAAAGTGTTTAATTTCTGAAAGAAGATGTGAATGAAAGAAACTTTGTGAATATTACATGTTTTTCTATATTTACCAAATCACAAATTATGTATCAAATGCTCCTTTAGCATTTGTTTCCGGGGAGAAAAGCAATGGACTGTAACAAATAGAAAAGTCTATTTCCTCTCCTTGGATAAATATGCTCATAATTGGACCTGGGCATTCTGGTGACCTCAGGGCTACCCGGGTCTGACCTGTGGGGTGGAAGACAGCATGCGGGCCGGCCGGCTCAGGGCCAGCAGCGAGAGCAAAGCATGCTGGGAGCTAAAAGGAGGGTTTAGGTCAAAGTTCAAGCTTGACAAGGGGCCAGGGGAGACAGGACTCTTCCCCAGGGAACTGGGACAGCAACCCCTCTCAGCGGGGATTCGATGATAGTGCTGCCTCACAGTTGGGGCTGAGATTTGATACTACAATTTTCTGGGCTCACAAGATGTTTATCACTTAGAACCCAGTTGGAGCAGGTGCAAAGCAAATTTTCTGTTATTAGGAAGGGGCAGGAGGGACAGAGGAGCTGAAAGAAAGCTGATGATGGGTTCATGGTAAGTTGCTCTCACACGGCCAGGAGTCAAGGTTTAAAAAGCAGTTACTAACATCCGTTTTTCACCAAACCATTACTAAAGTCAAATGAAAAATGTTCACCACACTGAAGTCGGTCTTTTGTGCCTCAGGTAGACACAGTTTTTCATTTCTCATCTTATTTGACATGGTAAAATCTTTCAACAGCACATATCATTTTGAATTCAGGGAGAGTTGGGATGGGGAAGCACTAGGATCTTGCTGAACTCCTTACAGGCTCTGTCATTGCCCCTCGGGGCCCTTTTTTTGGTAAGAGGCCTCTGTCAGTCTCCCAGTCACCCAGTCCTTGTTAACACAGGCACACGGTGCCACGGGAGCATATGAGAGCAGGGTGGTTAATTCCTATTAGGGATCTGGGAAAGGCTTCCTGGAGAAGGGAGTGTTTGAGTGGGGTACTTGGCTTATGTTGTTTTCACTACTTAAAATTCCCTCCTTCCTCACACCTCACCTGTCCCTTAGCCAAAAAGCAGGGGCGGGGCAATGGAGAAAACTCTAAGCATCAGCCAGCACCGCGAATGCACAAAGCTGAGTGAGTGCAAGCGTTCCCTTTCGTTTCAGCTTCTGCATCATGCCCTGCACCCGCATGTTTGCCAAATACCAGGTATTCCAGGCCTTCCTTTGTTCAGATAGTTTTTCCTTTCCACACCACCTTATCACCATTTTTCTCCAAAGTTCTACCACCTTTTCAAAGCTCACTTCAAATACCACTTTCTCATTGAAGCCCTTCCCAGTCACCAACAGAATCCATCTCTCTGGCTTCTCACTCCCACTTTTCTCTATGTGCCTCTATTAACTGTTTTTATAACACTTATACGAAACGCTCCGGTGACACATCCGCTCTCTCATCGCAGGACTTTCACTGGCCAAACCTGGACAACACAAAATGGAATTAAGACGGTGATATATGATTCTAAAGGGAAGAAGGGAAGGCACTGTCTTACAGCAAAATGACAACTAACAAATATGGGAGAACTTACAGAGTTAGAAAAATAACTATTTTCAACCATCATAATAACAATGATTCAGACAAGAATCAGCAGTGGATGCTAAGGCCAACCGTGACAGCCAGTTGGGGAACAAAATACTTATACTTAAACCCTGTCCCTCCTTATTGTTCTCATTACAGAGGGTAAAAACATCCCCATTTACAGTGAGGAAATCTAATAGACACCATCTCAGTCAAGTGATCAAAATTAACACCACCCTTAATGGTACAAACAGATACATATGCCTCCTCATGATACGCAGCACACGGCCCCGAGAAGGACACACAGCCACCTCTGTGGTACTTCTGCCCCAAGTGCATAATGTGGATCTACCATGATAAATAAAAGACTCAGACAAACACAAACTGAGGTGCGATCTTAAGACAAAGCTGCCTTAAACTCTTTTCTAAAAATGCCAAAACCATGACAGGCAAAGAAAGGCAGAGGACCTGTTCCAGATTAAAGGAGGTTAAAGTGATGACAACTAAATGTAATGTGTGATTCTGAATCAGGTGTGACAATTTAAAAAAATAAAAATAAAAATAAAAAAATTTAAAAAGCCTTCCCTGAAGGACAGAACTGCTGTCCTTTAACCAGGAGGACTAAGCACATAAATGCAGGGCTCACTTTTATTGAAAACATGACAAGGACAAAAAAAAATGTTCTAAACCCCAGAGTCCACGTGTCAGATTAAATATTGAGATTTGGTTTGCTGTACCTGGTAAATTTATCAAAAGACTCTGTTTCAGTTTTCAAGCAGGGACAGTCCCGGTAAAGAAGGTATTTAGGCACCAAACGGCAGTCACTCAAATGTTATCCTAAAAACCAACTTGTGCTTCTCTCTTTCCTCCCTCATGACCGTGGGAAAAGAGAAGTTTGTGGGAATGAGCAAGTCATTTGGGGTTTGTGAGGATAAATACATTGTACTTGAAAGATTGTAGCCTTTAAACATATTTGCATAAAAGTACACACTCTCTATCCCATCTAACCTCTGTGAAATAATCCCCTACATAAGCAGGAAAGGGGATAAAATTATTGTTTAAAGACTTTCCAAAAAGATTTAAATAAAATAATTTTATTCTTAAGCCTCAGTTAGCAACAAGCCTGAGTTAACAATAGCAATAAAAACTAAATATATTAATCAGAATATTCCATTCTTTAGGTGTTCTGGTAAATTGAGGTCTTTTAAACAAAGTTAATTTTTTTCTAGAACATGTATTCCTTTTCTTATTTTGGTTTTCCTTTTGGGTACACTTAATATGATGATAATGAAGCTACAGTCGAAGTATATATCATTTGACACCCATTTAGAGATCAAACATGGGATTTCTATGAATAAAGCAGAATTTTTAAACATGTTCTCCATTAGGTAAAATAAAAAATATATACCTTGAAAGTTTCCAATCTTCTGTCCACCCATGCTTCCTTCTCTTCCCCCCTCCCTACTCTGCTTTGGTCCTTGAACTTACTACGTTACCTCTCCCACAGCGCCCTTGTTCCTGCCCACCTACAATTTCTGCCACCACAGCCGCTTTGCCCAAATAACCTCTACTCTTCGTCCTCACTTCCTTCGAAAATCCCACCATGCCCTCCTTAGCTTTGCGACTGTGGTTGAATTATTTCCCACTTATTTGTTCGTACAGGTCCATGCACATCCCAATCTTCATACTTATAATGTTGTAATTTTTTATCTATTTACTTGATGTTCTCCCATATTGGACTGGAAACTCTCTGGGGTTTTCCTCCATATTCTATCTCTTTACTGAAGGGCACATAACAGATGACCAAATGTTTGATGAGTGAATGAAAGGGTAGTATTAACCTTAGGCCATATAGAAAACAATGACATTCATTCATTATTCACAAAAAGAACTGCATGCCTGTTATTTCCCAGGCAGAGTATTAGAAAGTGAGGTTCTATCAGTGAATGAGAAAAACCTCTGCCCTCAAAGTTTCATGCCAATGGTGGGACACAGAAATGAACAAGAAAATTCAGAATATGTCAAGTGGCAAATTCTAAGGATAAAAATGGAGCTCTGTAATGGGAAAGAGGAAAGGCAAAAGCAGAGGTAGGGACTTGCTGGCCAGGAAAGAGCAGATCACCCAGAACCTTGTGGGTGTTTGTGGCTCTGGCTTTTGTTGTGAGTGAGAGAAGCACGGAGAGTTTTGAGCAGGGCAGCAACATTACCCCTGGGTGTAAAAGAAGCGCTTGAGCTGCTGTGTGGGAAGCACACACAGCAAGGGCAGACGCTGGCAAGGTAAGAACAGTGGAAATAGCCCAGGTGGGAAATGACTGTGCTTGGGCTGCTATGAATTGGGGGTTATAAAAAAAAGTTCGATTCCAGATATATTTTAAAGGGGGAGCTGACAGGAAACGTTTACTTTCTGGATATGGCACATGTAAGAGCATAGTCAAAGAGTAGTCAAATGTGTGGCTGGATGAAAGGAAAGTGAGGATGTAAGAGAGGTGAGGACTAGTGAAAAAGTGGTGGAGTCTATAAAGTGTGGTCTCAGTGAAGCTGAGGGATTTTAGAAGTTGGGAGAGGAGAACCGGTGAGCTAGGAAGACAGAGGCGGTAGCCACATGGAGGGTAAGAGGCTTGAAATTGAGACTCAGAGTTACAGCTAATCAGAACAAGATTTGATGAGCTTCCATATTCATCAGCATTATCTGAAGGGCTTATTAAGTGCAGATTTCTGCATCCCAGTCCCAACGATTGGGACTCAGTAGCCCGGGGTTGGCATCTGAGAGTTCACCTTTATAACAAGCTCCCAGGTGATGCTGATGACGTTGGTCTGGGAGCCACACTTTGAGAACCACTGATCAAGAGATATGATTATGGGAGGCGGTGGGTAAAGTGGAGCGCAGGTCAAGATCTTCGAAGAAGAGGTCAAAAACTGAGAGCACTACAAAACACACAGAATTACTACTTCAGTAGTGCTGAAAGGAGTGACATAAGATAAGAATTAAAGTCTTCAGAACTGAGAGAGAAACACAGTAGTTTGCACAGGACTAAACAAGTTGTGGAACTGGTCGCATCGGATGGATTGAGCTTCAATGCTAAGGGTTTTTAAGAGAGTACGCTGAGAAAATGGTCCCCAAATGGAAGTGAGCTGCAAGGAAGACATCAGAACACTGGTACCTCTCCAACCCGTTAAATGAAATGTAT